CCCCCAGCCTCCCCCCCCCCTTCCCTACTACTTACCAGATCAGAGTGGCTGCAGCTCCCTGCTGCAGCCACCAGGGACTGTCCGAATCAAAGCTCTCCAAATCTTTTCCGAAGATTCGGAGAGCTTTGAATCAATTTGGACATTTAAATTGGTCCCTTGATTCAGATTTGGAGATTTGGCCACCAAATCAAGCTGAATCTCCTCCAAATTGAAATCACTACCCAAAGCTTTGCACAATCCTACCAACTATTTCATTACAAAATGTTTTGTGAGCCACGCTCTTCATTAGACTCATATTTATTGAAGGAACCAAAACTTCCAATTCCCTGTCTTTGGGAATATCACCTATCCTGCCTATTTAAACCACAAGGCAACAACCCTTCTATCACCCTTCTATCAACTTTTCAGTCAGTGTATGCACTACCGTGCTTGTAAGTAAGTAGAGTGAGAGCATAATGGAGAATAAGTGGGTGGTGTGGTGTGGTTCATTAAGTCCTTAAGCAAGTCAGAACATCTATGGTGTTATCAAAGTTGCATCTGAATGTATTAACATGTTCATCTCCATCAATTACTCAGGATGGTTGGCAGGATAAGAATCACAGCAGCCATCTTACAGCATCTCCATCCTTCCCCTCCATTCCAGCAGAGAAAAATCAGCTTCCCTATTTAAGACATGCACTCCAACTCTGATTTTGAGGGGAAAGGTACATGTGATATTTGAGTAAATATGTCCAGCTCTCCCACTGTGAGTGATATTCAAATCTCCTGGCAGTTTATTTGTATATAGTTATATTAAAAAGTTGCATTCATAACCAGAGTCACATGGTTCAAACACAGGATTTGCTGGTCACAATGGTGAAAGAATTAGTCTGAGCACTTCATATAGTATTCAAAAGTCTGAAGTATCTAAAATCTATTCAACATACCAATTACGGTCAGCACAGTGCATTAAAAGACTGCATCACTATTGGCATTGCATTTACTATAGATAACTGATGCCTAGAAAATGGTGTTTAGAGGTTTATTTTTGGGAATTAATTTTGTAGGTAAATATATATGTATTAGAATAATGGCCCAGGGTGGCAGCAAATGTTAACTGATTTCTAAAGCCTTGGTGTCACAGTCCTCACAGCCTTTAAGGCAGACTGGATGTCTAATGCAACAAAACTAACATATAAACACATAGCCTGGGAAATTGTGGGCATATACCATGCTGTTCCATAACCTGAGATAAGGTGGCATCAGGTCACAAGGCCCAAGAGTTGGGGGCCTGAGAGTTCCAGTTTGTGGGGAGCAGACCAAATTAGGAAAAGACCTAGAAAGCCCAAATTAGGATGTGTGCACGTGATGGGCTTGTGAAACAAAGGAATATGCCGACAGGACAGAAAGCTGACAGTATGACAACCACAGAAAGACCAATCAGTGATAACCATGGATTAAGGGTCATCAGGAGGTAAAATGTATACAAAAGGAGAGCAGAGACTTTAGAGTAACAAAGGGTCCCTGTCCCAAAGAGGGGAACACAAGGCACCATAGACAGAGGGTATACAACCAGCCTGTATCATCCACCCCACTGGATGAGGGGGGGGCGGGGGGGGAGGGGTGATGAGCCTCAGCCTCCAACTTCCAGGCTGCTGACATCTGACATTCAGGAGAGAACCTCAGAGTTAATCTCACATCCTGGCCAGATGTATCTTGACTCTGATGACAACTCTAGGATTGGTACCTATAGAACTGCTTGTATTATTCCTTTCTCTTATCACTGTACATCAATAAATTTGCCTATTATTGAATGAAAAGGTCGTGGTCAGTCTGAGGGTTTTGGGTCCCCGCAGAACAAGGCATCTGGGTCCTAAATCCAGTGCCAACAATAACTTTTCTACTTTTTCTAACATATAAGTATAGTTCACAACCCTGAATTAAAAGTGGTTTCTACTGACCTTATGGAATCAGAATCCAGGAAACAGTGAGCAGCAGATATCAGCCATCTATTTGAAATAACAGATGCACCACAAATATGGCCATAAGTTCCCATCTGTAAGCTTGCTTGCCATGGCCACTTTCCAGACCTTGCATCCTCACCTCCCACAATTCTATTTTTTGTAAATTGACTCCTTCCACAGGCTAATAAAAAAAAAAGATGGATTAAGAAATGCTCAACACATTGGGCTCTTTTGCATTGTTATTGTGTTTGTTTTTCTTATTTAGTTCTTACACTTATAATTTTTCATATGAAATACAAAAGTACTTCCAAAAAGTAATCAGGAATACAGGTTGTAGCCATGTTGGTCTATAGGCAAAAACAATCAGAACTCATGGGAGAGGTGATATCTCTAATTAGACTAACTAGATAGTTGTAAAAAAATAAAGAAATTAAAAAAAATAAAGAAAACGTTTTGCAACTATCTAGTTGATCTAATAAAACCAAAGTTCCCTAGGCTTTACTCAACCAAAGTGATGATATTTACTCCCATTTTTCTATAGAGGTTACTGAGGAAGTGACTGACACAAGGTCATATTATAAGCAGAGCTGAAAACAGAACCATAATCTTTGGATCCTAAGTCCAGTGTTCTAGCCACTGGATCAACTATTAAAGAAGCTAAGTGTCGCGGCGCACCTCGCTGCCCCGCTCCTAGAGAGGGGAAAACTGCCAGAGGAGAAGCTCTGGCAGTGCATAAGGAGCCCTAGTGGTGATTAGGGAGTACAGGTGTGGGTTGCCGGGGCAACTAATGAGAATCAGCTGCCTGTAGGAGGCAGGGCCTGGCCCTTATAAAGCCCAGGGCTGAAGCCAGGCTAGCAGTTTCCTGTTAGCAGCTGGAGAGGCAGGAGCTCCCTCGGCCAAGATATAGGGAGAACCCTGATCACAAGTATAGCTCACGAGAGCTCCAGAGGCTGGAGCAATGATGTTGAATTACATCCAGGAGGCTTATGTTGCTATGGCCCAGTGCCTTAGGTTTTGGTTATAACCAGGAGGCTTGTGTTTGCTTTAGTGTTTGTATTACACTGGTGGTTTGGGAGAGGCTATAAGGGGTTGGAGGAGGACTCATAGGGACCCCAGAGGGGTGGGCCCTAGCGCCAAGAGGGCGCGTTATCCTCATAAAGGGACCCACAGTGGTGTGGGGGCCCTAGTGCCAGTGAGGGTGCAGTACTCATAGGGGGGCTCACAGGAGTCTGAGGACCCCGATGCCAGTAAGGGCGCAACTTGCGGGGTGTGTAGACCCCAGCCCAGAGAGGGGCATTTAAAGAGCCCAGTGTGGGCACAACAAGTCCCAGAGAGAGAGGGGCAATTTTATTAGGGAGCCCAGTGTGGGCACAGTGAGCCCCAAAGAGGGGGCGGCACTATTAAGAAGCCCAAGGTGGGCACAACGAGCCCGAGAGGGGCAATATGTGAGAAGCCCGGTAACAGGCTAGCACTGCAGAAAACCCAAGAGAAGGGCAGGGTGCTGCGGTGGACCAGTGGGCCTGAAAGGTCGGAGGCTCAATTATAGAGTCCCAAAGCAGGCAAGGGTCCCTGAGTGGGACAACACTTTTAGAGGAGGCCCCAGAGAAGCGGGGCAGTGCTAGAAAAGGCCTCAGAAAAGGGGGCAGCATTTTAGGAAGCCCTAGGTGGGCACGGCAAGCCCTGAAGAGGGGAGTGCCTTATGAGAGAAGGCCCCAGAGAAGGGGGCAGCACTAGAGAAGGCCCCAGAGAAGGGGGCAGTGTACGTATAGAGAGAGACACCAACATCTATCACATATGCGAGGCTTGGGGCGTGGTATTAGGGGTTGGTAGGAGCCACGCATAGCCCATAAGGCTAGGGAGCCCCGAAGCACTCATTTGTGCTGGACAAGATCCACGAGAGGTCCAGGAGTCTACCTAGGGCATTATACACAGCTCTGACCTTCCCTATATCATGTCCCATACCTTGCAGATGGCATCCAAAATCATCCAACTTCTCCCGGCTACTTTGCTGAGCTGTACCACTTGCCCTCGGGCCCAAATTCAGCCTCAGGCATCCGTAGACTTACCTTGGCCATTACACCCCCTCCCTGGGACCTCCATTCATGCCCCTTCACTGGGACCTAAACCCACACTCCCAGGCTGAGTCTCACTCATCAAACTACTGAGGCCATCCTATGCACAGGGCCTGAAGGACTGGGGTCACTCCTCTGCCCCCTCACTGGGGCCTCAGGGCCTACGCCCCTCATGTCCCAGGCCTGATGATAATGCCTGGACCCATGCCTGTCCCCACTCTAGGGTTACCCACCAGTTTGTGGGGGCTGTGACTATAAGGTGCCCCATACTTGCCTTTCACTATGGAGGCAACTAGTGTGGCATTTCCTGAGGACCACCTTGCCACAGGCACCCCACCATACCATCCTACCCTAACAGGGTAATTTTAGGTCATGCCTCAGGACCAGGAGTCTCCACCATCCCCGTAGCTCCTGTTCTGTGCCTCCAAGATGTTATGTGAGCACCAGCTGCACTCAGGCAATGTTCCCCTTCCAGCTGCCTGCAGCAAACTGCTGGCCCTAATGCTCAAAGCCTGCTCTTATATCTAGCAGCTGGTCCCGCTTCCCAATCAGCCAGCCCTCTGCTGGCCATATGACTCCTGACTGGGAGTGCAGCCACCTGCAGGCTGCTTTGTTGTTTATTATAGCCCTTAAAGTATCAGGCACCAAAGGTATCCTGCCACACTGCAATTCAGCAGATTCCAGGGTCTCATGTATCAGCATCCCCATGCTTAAAAATGGTGGCAGGGCTGCTTTAACTAAAGCTCATCAAATGAGATTTAGTTATAGCACCCTTGTCATCATATGTAAGCATGGGGACACTGATGCACGAAATGCTCGAGGCACTTTAATTAGAGCAGCTCTCAGAGCCACTCTAGTTAACATCCCCCCACACTCCCACTCCTAGAGCAGGTGTATAAATTCCAATAGTAATTACAGGTGGGTGGACCCTCAGGAGGTTATCTAGACCAACTCATTGTTCAACTCATTGATCATTACTGTCTAAACCATCCTTGAGAACAATGGGCACAAATTGATGGAAAGCAGATTTAGGTTGGACATTAGAATTACCTTCTTCACAGTAAGGGTTGCCAGAATCTGGAATGGGCTTCCAAGGGAGGTGGTGCTCTCCCCTGTGTTGGGGGTCTTCAAAAGGAGATTGGACAAGCACCTAGGTAGGGTCATTTGACCCCAAAGTTCTTTCCTGCCCAGGGCAGGGAGTCGAACTCAATGATCTACTGAGGTCCCTTCTGACCCTAACATCTATGAATGTATGAGAAGTGTTTGTCTGACCTTCTCTTAAAAACTTCAAAGAATGGATATTCTACAACCTCTCTAGGTAGTCATCTTCAATCCTTAACCACCCTCATAGTAAGAAAGTTCTTCCTAAGATTCTGTCCCTGCAGCCACAAACAATCAATTGCTGATTGTAGAGTATTTGAAAACCGTTATCAGAGCCTCAGTCTTTTCTTCTTTAAACTAAATAATCTCAGTTCTTCCAATCTTTCTTTAGACATCTGGGTGGGTAATTATTTAGGCCAGAGGGCCATTTAGGGAGTTTTGGTGAGCTGTCTCAGGCTGAGTCAGCACTCCCTCTCCCCACCCCGCACATACTACCTTGCCAGGTCAGCACTCCCTTCCTACCCACTCCACTACAGCTTGCCAAATCTCCCTAAATGGCTCTGCTACATGCTCAACCAAGAAGATGGGATGGGACTGTAGGCAGGTGGGGAATAGAATGGCAGGGCAGTGACAGTGCAGGCATGGCACATGGCCAGATGGATGGGATGGGGCCATGGGTAGGCTAGAAGCAGGATGGGCACAGATGGGGCTGGGAGGGTAGTAAAACACTGGAACAGGTTACCCAGAAAGGTGGTGGAAGCTCCATCCTTGGAGGGTTTCCAAGACCTGACTAGACAAATCTCTGGCTGGGATGATCTAGTTGGGGATGGTCCTGCTTTGAGCAGGTGGTTGGGCTAGATGACCTCCTGAGGTCCCTTCCAACCCTAAATTTCTATGATTCTATAATAGGGATCAGGATCTTGGGGCCATGACAGCATGGGACTGGGGCTCTGGGCAGAGCCATGATCTGCTCCCTGCACTCCCCTGCCCATAGCAGAAGGTGCAGGGCAGACAGGCCACGGTACATGGGCAGCAGCAATCATGGAGACCGCCAGCGGGGAGTAGTGGCAGGTCCAGTGGCAATGGCAGAGACTGGCAGGAAGGAGATGGCACTACCAGGGCTGCCAAGAAGTGAGTACAACTGCTGCACTGCTTCAGCCCCGCTGCACACCCAGGGGTGGTGGGACTGGCCACACACACCACAGCCCAGGCTGCCCTCCACACCTGGGATGGGCATTGCTAAGGGACCTGCTGAGGGCTGGATAAAAACCCTTGATGGGCTGGATCCAGCCCCTGGGCCATATTTTGCCCACCCCTGTTGTATGTCATGGTTCCTCAATCTCAAATCAGTTTTGCTGCTCTCTGATGAATTCTTTCCAATTTATTCACCTATTTCTTGAAGTGCAGTTCCCAAAACTAGAGCAAAAGAGCTGAATAGAGCAAAAGAATGACTTCCCTTAATTTGCAAGTGACATTCCTATAAATACAGCTCTGTATGCTACTGGCTTTTTTATTCTTTTTTTGAAACAGGAACACACACATTGTCTCATAATAAGCTTGTGATCTACTCTAAACCCTAGGTCCTTTACGCAGTACTGCTGCCTAGCTGGTCATTTGCCTAGGCTGTATTTGGACTGAAACAAGAGCATGCATTGATTTCAAACAAAACCTTGCAGCTCTACACCTACTAAAGCTTTGATGACAAGTTTTAGTATCAAACTTCCATGTTTCTATTTACATATACATCCTTTACTTTTTAATTGTGGTCTGTACAATGAACCTAGACTGGCTAGTTTAGCTTATTCCCAATAATTATCACTTTTAGATGGCACAAGGTAATGATAATTGGTCTAAACAAACCACAAGGAAAAACAGGGAGAAAACTAGCAAATGGCCCATCAAGCATGATAGGGTGGCCAGGCAGGGACAGAGGCCTGCGTTGCCCCCCCGCCCGGGTCAGGTTCCCGCTTCCCTCCCATCCCCACCCACCATTTTGGCTTGGGCTCATTCCCCTCCTCCCCCCTGTCATTTAAGGTCTGGTTCCCCCTGTTCCCCTGCTGCTTCAGGTGCAGGCCCATGCAGCCCCCAGCCTCCCAGGACTGGGGAGGAGAGAATAGCTTGCACACAGTGGCAGCGGCTGGCCAGCAGTGGCGATGGGCAGCTGTGATGCGGTGGTGGCAGCCAGCTGCCGCATGCTGCCACCGGTAACGCCCCCTCTCCATCCTGCTCCCATCCATCCCTCCCTTTCTTCCTACCCTCTTCCCCGCTGCCTCCCCCTCCCTGCCAGCTGTTGGGGGGGGGGGGGGGGGGGCGGAGGGTCCCGCTCTGGCCCCTGGCTCCAAGGAGCAGGGCTGGAGGGGACAGCAGTGCTGGCCTCACCCCCCAACTCTGGTCCCTCAGTCCCCACCATCATAGCAGTGCTCTGCTGTGTGTCTGTCTGTTGGAGCACTCTGATTGGCTGCCAGGATAACCAATTAGAGTACAAATAAAGTGTTACAGATAGATGGACTAAGGCTTTTATAATATTAGTATATTTTCATACAAACAATAGCAGGAAATTATTTTTATTCATATCTAACTGTATAAATCCTCTGTTCTACTAATTTTTAACCAAATCTACTGCTAGTTATTTCAGTTTAGTGTAATAATTCAGCCCTAAATTAAATCCTAGTTTTAAATGGTTTTCCACTGGACCTTAAATGTTACATACCACAATTAACTTCATCAGATCCATCAGCACAATCTCTTATTCCATCACATTCAGGGTTTGGTTTCATTGAACACTTGCCATTTGAGCATTTATATGCATATGGAGAACAATTTTTAGAGGCTGAGAAAAAAAATACATGACTTATGAAACATCTTGGAAGGTACTTTTTCGCAGGTTACTTAGCAGAATTCTATCTTATTAATGACTTGTATAAGGAAGTGAAAGGCTATAGGCTATCTCCACCTGACACAGTTTTAAATTAATACCAGGTTGTGGGATGTTAACTACATCACTGCTGTTTGCAGATAGTAGTATGCACTACCCATACCCACCTACTGGGCAACTAGGTTCAGGACAGAATGCAACATATCAATAGATGTGATCGGTCCTCTGGCTGCATCGCTACAAAATGAGGTTGTTGGTATTAATTGTAGGTATACTAAACATTGATTATGATAAATCCTATGCGTTTAAGAATTCTACCTATCTCTACCCCCAAACAGTGGCATTTTATACCATCTCATTCATATTTTTGTTGTTTAATTATTGATGAACTTGTTAATTTAACATTTCTACATGGAGTCAAAGTCCTAGACTTGTCCTGTGTATCTATGTGCAGTATGTGATAATATGTGATACTATGACCAATGATGGAGAAAAATGAGAATGTGCGGAAGGCAAGAAAGGGAGATGAAGCAGATGTTTTGGAAATAGCTAATGCTGATTGCCATGTATTAAAGAAATTAAGACATGATATATCATCTGGCTTCAGACTATATAGTTCATTCTGTTTGAAAAATCACAGATATTAGATATGAATTTTAATCTTGTTCATTTTAGCCATAGTGTAGATCTCTGTATTCTTCTTTGGTGCTCTCTCTACTGCAGTTTTAAAATATTTGAAACAATTATATTTCAACTACTACCTAACAATAATATTAGATATACAATAGATCATCACAGTGTACCAAGGTGGATCTGTTCAGACAGATTTAACCTCATACCTTTAACAGCAATGAAACAGTAAACTGTATGGTAACACGCAACTTTTCATTTGGATGCACAATGAAATCCAATTTGAGAAATCACTTGATAATACTCCAATTCCTACAAGCTAAAAAATGTATTACCTGTTTTGTATATTAAGACTTTCTTCACAGTAATGGAGGAGACTACAGACATGCTAGAATAGATGTCACTTGGACAAATTAAATAACCCATATAGCATATATCCTGAAAATCATAAAGTGAGATGTGGAAAACTTAAACTAAAATTTACTTGAGGATTAACATTTTTAGATAACAGAGTACAAGTTAGATGGTTTTTAATGCTTCTTAATGAAAGGTATTACTATGCCACTACTGGTATCTTCAGAGTTGAGTTTTTTACTTTTTGTTTGGAGAAAATACTTCCCTTATGATTTGGGTCCCCAATCCTTACTGCAGAATTTGTTGTTCCACTAGAAAGCAGGTGATTCATTTCATGTGTCCCTGTTGGCAAACTTGTACTTTGGGCAGATGGTTCCATCCTAGCTTGTCTGATATTTGCATTTAAACCATGGTCTTATTGCTAAGTCAGCTGTTAAGACTCCAGGAGTCTCCTCAACTCAACAGTTCAGTAGGTGGAAACAGTCTGCATGGCAGGACCCAGAGAGTTCTCATGAACAGATCTGTCATCCTGGTGAGAAGTGTCCAGTGGTGTCCTTTAGGGGTCTGTGCTTGGACCAGTGCTTTTCAACATCTTATCAATGATTTAGATGTGGAGGTGAAAAGCTCGCTGGCTAAGTTTGTGGATGACACCAAGTTATGGGGGAGTGTGGTCATGCCAGAAGATAAGTTGCAGATACAGGCAGACTTGGACAGGCTGGAGAACTGAGAGGACTGAAACCAGATGGAAGTCAACACTCAGAAGTGTAAGGTGCTCCATCTGGGGGCAAACAATCTCCCACATGCCTACAGGCTTTGTGGCAACAATTTGACTTAAACTATGGCCAAAAGGGACCTAGGAGTAGTTATTGACCATCACATGAACATAAGCCAGCAGTGCAATGCTGTGGTCAGCAGGGCAAATAACACGTCGGCATGCATTGACCGTTGCATCTCACACAAAACTAAGGAAGTGATACTCCCACTGTACTCCACACTGGTGAGACCACAGCTGGAGTACTGCATCCAGTTCTGGGCACCATACTTCAACAAGGACATTGGAAAAAATTGAGAGGGTCCAGAGAAGAGCCACCCATATGATCAGGACTTGCAAGACAAACCATACAAGGAGAGGCTGAGTGACTTGGGCCTCTTCAGCCTACAGAGAAGACTGAGAGGGGACTTGGTAGTGGCTTACTGCTACATCAAGAACTCGGTGAACACCTGTTCACCAGGGCACCCCTGGGGAAGACCAGGAGCAATGGATACAAATTCCTGGAAGGCCGCTTCTGGCTTAATTCCAGGAAAAATTCCTTCACAGTCACGGTGTCCACACTGTGGAATAAACTCCCTCCAGTGGTGTGTAATCACCTGCCTTGGAAATCTTCAAACGGAGATTGGACAGTCACCTTGCTGCAGTCACCTGACCCCAGTTGTCTTTTCCTGCCTAGTGCAGGGGGACTGGACCTGATCATCTACAAGGTCCCTTCCAGCCCCTAACAATCTATGAATCTATGAATATTTCTGAAAACTGATTTATATATAAAGCCCTCATTGTGTCAACAGTTAGCATCTCAGAAGTTACTGCTTGGTAATGCATTTTGAAGTAACAAAAGCTACCATTTTTGCTGCATCATACAGCAAAAACAGTGTTTATTAATGAAATTTCTTGTTCTGATCCCATGGTTATCATAATATGCAGAAAAATATGATTCCACAAGCCACATAGGAAAAGCAATTTAAATTTCAAATATGAGGCAAGTCTGTTACCATACATGGTCTAAAAAGAAGAAAAAAAAGCACGTTTATTGTCCTTTCTTTATTTGGGGAGACTAATGACTCCTCCATGTTCAGGAGGTTCAATATATGAGCATCCTACCTACAAGAAGAGAGATGACTGCTACATCAAAGTGCAGTAGACCCAAGTGCACCAAGTGTCATGCTTCTAAAACGGGCAGGCAAAATACAGCCCACAGGCTGGATCCAGCCCACCAGGCCAGCTATCTGGTGCTTGGGGCACCTAAAAAGTTAAAAAAATAATATTCATCTGCTTTTGGCTGCCTGTCAAAGATGACAGGAGCCAGGGGCAGTAAGACCCAGGGGAAGCCAGCAGGAGTCAGAGCAAGGCTGGCTGAGCCCTGCTCCCCTAGTTCCCTCCCACGGAAGCCTTTGCCTGCTCCATCTTTCACTGATCCCCTGTGTGCCTACTCCAGGACCCACATGGCCCTGGGCTGCATTGCCGAACCATGGGAGCACTGGGCTGTGCCGGTACCCCAGGGCCAGGAGCAGGAGGGGGTGTGTATATGTGCATGAGTCCGTCCATCTGTGCAATGAGGGAGGGAGAGACAGCAAAAGTAATGAGGGAAGGTGTGTGTGTGTGTGTGTGTGTGTGTGTGTGTGCGCGTTCGTTCATAGGGTGAATCCCACAAGCAGACACCACCATACACATGCACCCACAGCCCCCTCACCGTGCCATACATTAAGGCTCCCATCCCCACAAACCCCATACCCACCCACACCCCACATAACCACACCCATATGGTCCCTCACCCTACACCCCATATACCCCTATACACCCCCTGACAGCCCCCCCCCACAACCCTATAACCCCCATGGATATTTTTTGAAATCAAATTAATTAATGTTGTAGATGTTTGATTTTTAGAATATAATTGGGTATTTTTCTGGTTCTGAGATGGCAAAACCCCTTGCTAAAAAGGAATATTTCTTGGGGCAAAAGGAGGGACTTCTGGTGGCAAACGCCAGGGGTTAGGGGGTGGGACTTCTGGTCCCAAGATGGTGACCTGGGGTCAAGGCACCTGTCAAGGGGTGGGGCTACATGGGTAGCCGTCGACAGCTTGCCAAAACTGAGCAAGCGGCCCTCCGCCCAAAGTAATTGCCCACCCCTGCTCTAAAACATCTGATTGCTGATGTTTATTAACCTAATACCACACGTGAAATAGAGAAATGAGAGAGAAATATGTTGAAGATACCACATTTTGTTGACACACTTGTCCAAAATCATCAGATTTACTGACACAGCAACACAAGGAATTTATGAGCTTTGTCCTGCTTTATATTACAACACCATTCCAGGATGTCCATATTTAATTAGACTGGCAGAACAAACATTAATGTCAGAAAAATCCATTTTATTTTCCTTGGGGCTATTCATGCCAGGACAGAAATAATTACCTGAAACCACTCATTGACTAGCAGTCACTAAAAGTTCCCAATTGTTGTTTCAGGAAATAAATCACTTTTGCACATAAGGAGAACTGTTGAAATGGTTTGCATCCATATATTACACACACACACACACACACACACACACACACACACACACACACACACGTGCCACAAGATCTACAAATGCAGTTAGTTTCAGAAAGAAAATGACAGTGGAAATGTTCCTGTTTCTACCGCTCATGCATCTCATATAGAATTACTTCACAGTATGCTTACAGCAGTTGTTTTCATCACTGTCCTCTCCACAGCTCTCCTCCCCTCTGCACATCTTAGAAGCATGCTTACACTTCCCATTACCACAATTAGACTCCTCTGGACTGCAGCCTGAAGTAAAAAAAAATGTTAAAGCTTCCCATTAACTGTACCATTTGACCAGGGAATGAAGAAAATGTAATGGAGCATCAATACCCTGTGATATGGGTTAAGATTATTCTTTGTACCTCCTCTCATAGTCTAAGCCCTCCTTACAGAAATCTCTGTAACGAATGCATAACACATCATAGGTTTCTAAATGGAAGGAGGGTTTTTGGTTGTAGCTGTGTTGGTCTAAGGACATAGTAGAGGTGATATCTTTTATTAAAACAACTGACTCATTGGAAAAAAAGTTCTTAGCAAGCGTGCAGGCAAAGCACCCTTCTATGGGCATAGGGAGTCTGCTGTTCTGAGATATCCAAAGAATGAAAGAAGCTAAAAGTATGAAAAAAAGGGTAAGGGAAATAATGCCAAGGTAAGTAAGGGATCAACTATTATAGTTGAGAAAAGAGAAAAGAGGCAGTTTGGGAAAAAGCGAATACCTGGAAATTAGGAAGACAAAGGGTAGAAAAGGAAAGGAGGACAGAGACGGGGGTTGGGAAGTGTAAATGGTAAGGTCAGGCAGGTACCTGGTGAATCAGATGCCAGATTTATGGCACATTAGAACCTGCCTGACATCTGATTCACCACATAGCTGCCTGACCTTACCATTTATACTCCCCTCCCCACTCTCTCCTCCTCTCCTTTTCTACCCTTTGTCTTCCTAATTTCCAGCTATTTACAAATTCTTATGCATAATACATTTTATTTCTATGGGGTATACGCAACAGTACTGAAAGTTAGTATATTACATGTTAATCCCTCTGTATTTTTAATGTTATACAGTCACACAAGTGCCTCGGTGCACCACTTTTGTTCCACAGTAATAATTACAAACTTACCACAGTCTAATTCATCACTGCCATCTGAACAATCTTGCCGTCCATCACACTGATTGTTTAAAGGAATGCATGTTCTATCTGCGCACTTAAATTGTCGAGGACAAACTAAAGGAACCAAAGATGGGGAAAAAGTCACAACATTCTAAGCTATTTAAAACCTTGTTTTGGATTGAACCAAACACATTGTTCCCCTTTTTGACATCTTGAAATCTTTACACACAACTTTCAAAACGGTTGGCTTGAAAATTTGTTCTCTACATGCCTGCCCCAAGTCAACGTAAGTGGTTTCTCTTTCAACTCTAGATCTGCCAGGCAGAACCAACCACCAGTTCTGTCCCACAGTTTTATTAATTTCAATCAGAAAAAATTAATTGAGTCTACTTTTCTGTATACTTCACACAGAAGTGGGGAAAAAGGATCTGATAAATTAATTTCAGGTAGTTGTCTATTCCCTTCACATCTTGAAGAAGGGTAATCCACAGTTACACATCCTTTTTTCTATATATATCTACATGTGCCACAACATGGATCTAGGTGTTTTTTATAGCAACACTTTAGTAAAATCTCAAATAATGAAAGATTGTGGATACTCAGCAGTCTATGAAGGGAGGAATTTGTTTTCTCCTAATTTGCAATTATCAGGCAGGATTGCATTGGGAGAACACAGGTCTCAGAATCCTGTACCCACATAAGCCACACACCTTGCCAACATCCTTCACCAAGCATTCATAGGCTGCCTATATACGTGCTGAATCACATTCTAATTAGAACACATCAGAGCAGACTCGATTAATTGAGTCTGCTCCGCATTCTAACTAGAAGGCCCCAGTGTGGCCTGATCATCATGTGTATAAGAAGCCCTCACGCATTTAAAAATGGCTGCTGGGACACTTTGTCTAAACTTCATTGAAAGCACCCTGAGGCCACTTATAAACCCATAGGTGTTTAATACATGTGACAGTGAGACATTTTAATTAGAGTGGCTCTCTGGGAACTGCTCTAATTAAAACTCCCCCTCTGCCTCCGAGCAAACGTAGAGGCAGCCATTGTGTCTAGGTAGCCACATTACAGCACCTGCCCACCGCTGTTGGCTGGCCCTACACACAAAACCATGAAGCCCACCATTCTGGTCTTCACTGGATTGGCTGTGGGTATGGCAATACACAGCTAAGTGGGAGAAGAGCATACAATGAGTGCATACCACTAGTGTAAGGAGAAAGAACTCTGTGCATTTTCTTCAAAGAAAAGCATTTTTAAGCTCTTGTTCTGTACCATTCTCTATTCCATATGGCAACCCAGGCAGCCAAGGGACCCTTAGCCAATGACACTTCAGAAACAAGAATCACCAAGGCATAGATGAAACGGCACCCCTGGAAGTTCCCAAATGCTGAAGTCTTAATGGCCATTGGTCCTGCCCATATTCTCACAAGCTAAAACATAAAACTGGGTCCTAAACTACTGAAATACAACAACATTAAAAACACCAACAAATCAAAAGAACAGAAAAAGCAAACAAACACCTCACCAACAAATCCAAATGAACAAAAAATGATACCACACAATTCTCAATAGTAAAGACATCTAAGGACATGATCACAACATTTCAGACACTGCATAGATCTTCTGAAGATCAATACTTGTTTTGTTAATAAAGGAGGTGTCTGAAAAGGGGAGTGTAGAGGTCTTTCAAAATATCATTCATCCAAAATGCTGACTAGAGGACAGCTGTTGATAAATTTTTAAATAAAGCAGGCAAACCTTAGCCACTCCTTTAAGGGCTTATAGTTTATTCTAAACTATTCTGAAAATTAGTTCAGAACAAAATAGAAGCAATTCGTCAACTTTGAATTCACATCCTAATTAATTCATTGGGTGGCTGCTTTTATTTTGGAATGAATTTGCTTTATGTCATTTCTGGAAATCCACAGTAAGAGCAGCCACTGCTAAGGTAATCAGGAATAGTTAATACACTTTCAAGTCACACCTTGCACTATTCCAGATAGATATCAATGAGAAGACAAGCCCTAAATTTGCCCCTCCTCCCCTACTAGTGGTAGTGATCACAACATGGACCTTTTAAAATGTCTTGAGAATTTCATAAGCCTTCAACAAACTGGATTTGACAAATTTTTGGAGGTTCAACTATTATCTGCCAGTTAACAGAAATAGGCTGTAGTCCTATTTTCTCAATGTAATTCAGTGAAAAGTCCAATGCTTTAAACATCCAAATTCATGACACAACTACTTTTACATTAATAAATGTAACTAATCTAGTGAATTAGAAGTTTAACAAGATTAAAGAAGCAAAAGAAATATTAACCCCTTGAAATTAAAATGCACCTGTATCCACTTACGGTCCATGTAACTGAATGCGTTATATTCAATGTAAAAACCTCTATGAGTGACCAGTTCATCTGAATGGAAATTGATTGCAACTGAATAACCATAGTCTTTATTTCTCTGGCCTTCTGCAATAGCTTTACAATACCTGGAAAGGGAAAAGAATCATTATAACAACATTCCACTTCCATCAGATCTTAACTCTTTTTAATGTAGCGACTTCAGATTATCTTGCCACCCCAGCCTTCTTTTTTATTCACCATACAAAAACACTAACATCTATGCATGGGCAATACAGTTCCAATAAAATCCATACAAGTTCCCCAAAAGGTCATAGGGGTTTTAAGTGAGTGTGGTTCCCCTCCCCGGCAAGGATACTTTTCTTATCTTTGAAGTTACTGATTTTCATTAGGACAGGAAGCCAAAGAACAAGTATGCAAGAAGGCCAACATTAAAAACTATGGCCTATCTATCTGGAGCCCTTCTAAAAAAGTCTCTTTAAAAGGTTTCCTATTCAGTTCTGCAAACCCAAGAAGTTCAGTTTCCACTCACGGAATTCCACAGTCCAACTGCATGTTAACTTATATGTATTCCTTCCCAATGATGGACACTGAACATTTCTAAAACACTTTATATTGCCATGAAAAATGAAAGCAAACTGCAATCATTACAGATACATTGCAACTACAAAGGAAAATTCTGCAATGACAAAGGAACTCACCCATCAGAACAGAAATCTAGTTCAAGAGGGTGGCCAAAAATCATAGCTCCAGTGGCCCAATGAAAAACCCTGCAGTGGATCTCATGGACCACCACTGTTTTTAATCAAAGTTAACCAATTAAACACATTTTTATTGTTATGAAATAGGGACGATGCTACCATTAGTGACATCTGTTTGCTGTTTATCCACAGGTAATAAAGTCAGAGTGAAAACGTGATTGTGTTTACAAAGCTGTACAGTTCTTCACAAGAAACAGTTGAGAAATACAAGGTTTTAGTACAAAACATTTTATAGCACCAATTACATCCTCTCTCAAGATCACCAGGCAATTAGTATAATTTGTTTAACTCACCTAACTCCATCAATTTCTAACCAGTCCTTATCACATTTACTAGATCCTGGAGACTTCTCCTGAATTTGTATTACAAGAATTTTTAGTGACAACTTATAGCCAGGCAATGGTGCCTAAAATCAAAGGGTTGAAAAACAAAAGAAAGAAGTTTTACTATGGCAAATATATATTTTCAAATTGGCTCAGTATAAAGCGGCATTCAAAAGTTGTGTTCTCATCAGCAAATGATGCAGACCTTTCAGAAATGCATGGATTCACATGTTCTGTGGTGGCAGCTCTCTGTCACCAGGAGTTCTGGGCAGCAGAGCCAAGTAAGCATAGACAAGTCCTGAGCAGTTGTATCTGTGTTCACGAAGTAGAAAGCCAGCAGACAAAAAAAGCACCAGTGGTGAGCTTCGCCTATATACGAAGCCAAGAGACAGCTGCTTAAGACACAACACTCACTGGAAAGGCAAAACTGGATACATCCAAGTAAGGAAGTTTTCTACTGTTTCTAGTAGTGTTGGGGTGCTGTTGTCTCCATGATGGTCAGGAATGTGAAAGGCAATGATTTTTGTGGGTGATATCTGAATGCATTGCATCCTAACTATGCAGTTGGTTCAATAAAAGATGTCACCCACAAAAATCCTTGCCTCTGCTGTTTCTAGCATGTTTAGGGAAAAACAGGACTGTACTAAAAAAACACCTGAATAACGTTTCCTCCTGAAACAATTGAGCAATGCCCTCAATATGGAACACTAATCCTAACTCATGCAGTGACACAAACTGTTATACCCTCACCGTCTAAGATGCCTTCCTATCTTGCACATTGTGTGTGACACTGCCAAATCCTGTCTCCTCAAGGTACAGTGGACCCTTTGCCCCTTCTCCCCTCTGAAAAGACCCCAAAACCAGAGCTGCAGCCATACTTGGCTCTGCTGCCCAGAACTTTAACTGTCCTCAGATTTGTTCAAAACTGTTGCTAGCATGGCTCTCAGAATGGTTTCCTTTATTTCCTTCCTGTTTTACTGCCTCAGGATGTGCAATGAAGAACTTCACACAAAATCACAATGAATCTCAAGTGCAAGGACTTACTCTGATTATCCAGCTGCAGTCAATGCTTGGTGGATAGTAACTTGGATAATAAGGGGAGCTCACAGTCCCATTCCACGAGATGTAACGCCCGCCACATACTGGGAGAAAAAAAAAACCCATTAGTTAACAACACAATTACAGAAATTGCAATTACATAAGTTGCACTCAGGGGTCAGCCCATGGGCTAGATCTGGCCCACAAAGATCTGATGCAGCCCAACATGGCCACACAGCTCCACCACTGCAGTGCCTGTTTTTCTTACAGCCAAACTTACCATTACAGGTAACAAATCAGCAGCACTTGGTGAAGGGGCATGAATAGCAGGGGTTGCAGTAGGGGAAGGGGCATGAGAGGGACTTCACCCTGATGCTAATTGTGTATATGCAGAAGCAGACACCATTAATGAACTACCTAGAGCCAGGGACAAAAAGTCACCTCTGGGAAAGATGTTCTAGCTCTAACCCCAGGAAGACTAACCCTAAGAAGCAGAAGGATAGTATTCCCCAGACTCTGCTTAGCTGACTGAAACCTGCTTCAGGCAGACAGTGTGGGTTATTAGAATGATACTTCAATATCGTTGTCTCAGGGAAAACCCAGACAGTAATGTTTTAAATTACTAGTGACTATGAAGTATGAACATGCCTATGTCAAATGTGCAACTTGATTTGGTTACCTACCAATTTTAGGAACTGCCTGGAAGTAGGCTTTTAGTATGCTGTTCTCTTTTCTTTTGTCCAGCGAGAAGGTGACCAGCATTACATTACTTGATGAAGTTAACCGAACAATGGGGGGATTCCAAGCCCCTGGTACTCCACACCACCTGAGAAGCATGCAGATTTGATTAGACCGTGATTTCTATATTATTTATACTTCTGCTCAATTATATGGTAACAATGCCTAGAGCCCTGGACTCCATTTTGTTAGAGGATATACCAACAGAATAAAACAGATGCACTCCAATACTTAATACTTGGTGCTGTTTTATGCCATAGGGTCCCTCTAGATGTGCAGGTAAAGGTGAGATGGGATCTGATGTGTGAGTCGCATGTTTCATAGATTTCATAGACATCAGGGCTGGAAGGGACCTCGGAAGATCATCGAGTCCAGCCCCCCGCCCAAAGGGCAGGAAGTCAGCTGGGGTCATAGGATCCCAGCAAGATAAGCATCCAGTTTCATCTTGAAGGTGTTCAATGAAGGCGCTTGAACCACCTCCGGTGGCAGGCTGTTCCAGACCTTGGGGGCTCGGACAGTAAAGAAGTTCTTCCTTATGTCCAGCCTGAAACGATCTTGAAGTCGTTTGTGACCATTCGACCTCGTCATCCCTTGGGGCGCTCTGGTGAACAAATGTTCCCCCAGATGCTGGTGGTCACCCCTGATAAACTTGTAGGTGGCCATCAGATCACCCCTGAGCCTGCGCTTTTTCAGGCTAAAGAGCCCCAGGGCTCTCAGCCTGTCATCGTAGGGTCTGCTTCCCTGACCTCTGATCATGCGTGTGGCTCTTCTCTGGACTCTCTCAAGCTTCTCCACATCCTTTTTGAATTGTGGAGCCCAAAACTGGACGCACTACTCCAGCTGCGGCCTCACTAAGGCCGAGTACAGGGGGAGAATGACATCCCAGGATTTGCTTGAGAAGCATCTATGGATGCAAGCCAGCGTTTTGGTTGCTTTACTAGCCGCCGCATCACATGTTCATGCTTCTTGCTATGCCACACGTGCATAGCAGGAGGCATGACTGTGGGATTATGCATTAGATTCTATCATGCCTTATTGCTGGTCCAGGGGGAGCCTGGGATCATGATCCCAGGCTCTGCCTCCACTAGCAAGTAGTAAACTCCCATGTCTGCGCGGCCCCTCAACTGACCAGGCTCCCAGACGTGAGGACACCCTAGGCTTTCCTGTACCTAGGAGACTGCTTCTGGTGCAGGCTCCCAGCAGTGGGAGCACCCCAGGCATTGCTGCAGCTGGGAAACCGCAGCTGATGCAGGCTTCCAGTGGTGGGGCCACCCGGGGCAGCCCTGCAGCTGGAAGCCACATCAGCTATGAGCTCCTAGACTCTGGGGTGCATGTGAACCCCCACCCCCCCAAACCCCTAATCAGCTGACAGGGCTCCCAGGTGGCAGAGGGGCTGGCTAGGACATGAGAGTAACAAAACTATAGAGCCATGTGGCTGCCCCCACCCGAGCCTGGTTTGCCCAGGCTCAAACTGCTGCAGACCACATACGCATTTCCATGCAGTAAATGACTCTGCCATAAGATAGTGCTGTTCCCAACAGTACTATCCTACGGTGGAGTCAATTAATTTATTGCAAGCCAATAGTAGTGCACATGTAGATGGTTATGCTTTTCAGTGGAGCTAATTAGTTAACTCCTCGGTAAAGCGCAAATGTAGATGCACCAACCAACTGCAAAAGGTTACTGTGTGAAATACATTTTTCATTATCTTAACTTTTTAATGAGTTAAACCTTAATGAGTTTCATTTCCTACTCCTCTACTGAGACACTGCCTATTTAGTGTTCCCAGTTTACCTTCTCTAAAAACCATATATTATTCAATATACTTCTATTGCATTCCTTTTTATTCATCTTTTACCAAAATTGAGCGGTCTTAATTTTTCTCCACTCTTCATCATCAAATAGTCATCTTCCAATGCCCTTACATATTAGTCACCTGTTTGAGCCATTCTATTTTTGCTCTGCCTTTTTGACTTGGGACTACAAGAATGAGGGGGTGAGGACACATAAAAAGGGCCTGAAAATTTACCCAAGATGCATGCTTATGCAGTATATAATCACAGCCTTATTTCATACCCTCATAGCTAGCTTGTTGCCATGGTACATGTTCACCACTGCATTGTATAGGAAGTAAATCAGAACCATTTATGACATGGGTATCTGCTTGGATGGGATACCTATACAAAAGTATCATGAAGAAACTAAATGCAAAGTATTAACCTCAAGTCTTCATCTTCCATGTATATAGCTGCGTTCTCCCTTCTCCTGCAACATGACTTACACTGCCAAGTACACAGAAAAGGATGGTCCTTCAAAAGAACTCAACTGCTTTTCCTCTCACATGTCTTGGATCATGCACAAAAGCTGAAATACTCAAAGTACTAAAAACTTTTTATATCAAAGATAACACTGGATACAACACAAATAGTATAAACCCTACAGATTATCTCCTCTTAGCTAAGAATAGTGGCAACATTCAATAAGTTTTTCCAGAACAAGAACAGGCTGAGAGAGAAACCTCCAATTGCATATAGACTTTCTTTCCAAATATGATTCTTTTTCTTGAGTATACCTAGTTCTTTCAGCGTACTCAAACCCTATTTTTTGTAGGTTGCTATATACAAGCATCAATGCATAAGCTAGTTCTGTATATTAAGTACATGAAATACATTGGGGGAAAATGCCCTTATCCAAAGCTGGACCTGAAAATACTGAAAAAGCTGCTTGATATTAATGAACTTTTCTTTTCTGCTTGTTTTAAAGTAGTGTTCTTATTAAAAGTAGTAAGAGGGACATTGATGGCCCTTGAAATTGATGTCTACACCATAAATAAAAAAGTATATCAGAGGAGTTTCCTGTCATAAGCTACCCAAGTGTTCCAATACTAATTTGAGGGTAATTTAAAACTAACACTAATTGGTGGCTACACAATATCTGGTCTCTTTGCTGAACTCAAAGGTGAGTATTAGAACTAAATATCATTAAGACTTGCCAAGTCGATATCTGTTAATAAGAACTGGCAAGAGCCCATCTACTTATTTTAGCTAGGTTTGTGATATTAATGATACTGAATTTCAGTCACTACTAACCCTGGCTGTATTCTGAACAGACTTTTTCAAGGTGCATGATTCTCTATTTCATTGCCAGTCCCTTGAGCTATTCAATCCTCAGGCAAATGTTTTTGAATAAAGATGTGTTCAGAAGAGCTCCTACAGGCAGTGGGTGCATGTGCTTGGGGTTTTTGTTCTTTTATTTAAGCCCAAAAGGTAGCATTTTGTGTACAGTCATACCTCGTAATGATCTTGTTCTGAAGAGGGAGGAGGAAATCATATGCTGATAATCTGTGAGATGCACAGCTCCCTGGAGTGACACCATGCAATGTAAGAATGACAAGTCTCACAACATAGTTCGAAGGAACTCGCAGCCGCCACTGATAAAAAGATTTCTTGGGATTCATCAAAGTCAAACTCCTGTTGTTACCTGGCTTTGCATATAGGTCAAAGGATACTGTTAAACAAAAGAGACTACATCAGCAGCTGCAAAATTCAAAACCAAGGGAGGGCAAATAGAAATTAAACTGGGGAAGTCTTAGTATAAATCGAATGGATAGAAGCTGTCTGCAAAATAAGGCTTCATCACAACAGACATATTCTAGATGTCAGCAGACAAGACAAGGACTGAACATATGATGAAACTATACTGCAATACCTTCTCAAACAAACAGGTGGTCCTTTCTCCAACAAGGCTGAGGTAAAACTATGAAAATAAAAGCTTCATACAGTTGGTCTGTAGATATCTAAAGTCTTACTTTCTATTGTTGCTAATCTCACAATTTTCACTAGTGCTAATTGCAATGCTACAGCAACTTCAGCAGAAGGAGCATTCATTGCAATTCCTAATGCTTGAAGTCATTAGGCCACAATTAGTTCTAATTAAGACGTTAATATGACAGCTTATGTGTATGTAAAATATTGAATGCTCAAAAACAAAACAAACACACAAAGCAAATTTAGGGCTTTTTTCCCCTCTGTATATCAAATTTAGGGCTCAAGTTCCAGAACACACAGGCATTTCACATGAACATTACGAAATGCAAGCCCCAAATCCCACCACCTAAAACATAATAATTGATTTCACCATTAAATTGAAAGAATGTGAGAAACCTATTTTAGTCGTGAGTACTTTTGGCCACTTCCATCATTCTTATCACTTGGAGCTTATGTTTCCACATGGATAGACCAGTGTAGAAGAGCTATGTTGCTGCCACATCAATATCTTTCAGCTGCACATCTCTAGGAGCACTTCTATGTCCTAAAGATAAGAGAATCTGTGTGCAAGGATCTGTATCCTGTAGCTTCCTCTTAACTCAGACCTTCCAATTCAGCCTGAACTCTTTCTTCTGTAAGTCTGTAGGCCATTTTTGGTATATCTTTATGCTATTAGATTAACTTAACTTTGGCAGAAACCCTACACACATACACATTTCTTTCCTATGCCTGCCAACAAATTCCAGTACTCCATAATCCAGTATGTGCAGAGGCTGTTCTTCTTCCCATACAAAAGCACATAATTCATTCCTGAAGTGAATTGAAACCCTATTAATTTTGCTGTCAGCCTGAAAAATCTTCTTCATCCCTACCATCGTAAATTTCCATGGGATAAACACTTTCTCCCTTGCCTCTGCCACTAATTTATTCTCTTTCTGCTTCAGTTCTAACATGAGTCTATTGCCCTGAGTTTATAAAGTATCTCGAGATACAGGTCAGAGGCAGACAACCTCATGCAAAAATGAAAACCAGTGGAACTGCATATTTGCAATGATGATGGTCAATATTTTCTAAGTTGGGTGTCTAGAGTTAAGCTGTTCAACCTATAAGAAAAGAAGATCTATGAAATTGCTTGCTTTTTGGGTGCTAAGCAGCAATCTTTCTCACTACAAGACATGGAAAGCTGCACGTTCTCATTAAACTTGAAAATGTCATGTTCCTAAACAGGTTTTAAAAGCTCAGCATTAGATATCCAAATTTAAAAGATTTTGGAGAGCACTTGCAGAGAATTATCAGACTATTACTTAGACCAAGCAAGTTCTTCAAGGGAGGGACTGTCTACTCCTATGTATGCACAGTAACCAACAAAGGGGTCCCCATTCTCATTTGGTTTCTTGACTACTATAATTAATGCCTGGGGCTCTGATCACTTTGTTGATAAAGGCACTTTTTTTGCAAGTAGTATTACTTATTATTACCTTTTATTTAATTACCTGACTTTAAGGTCACATCATACTCAGTAGCATCTGCAACTTAAATTAAAAGGGAATATTAGTCAGATATGAGCAAAGCATACATATTTTAAAAGAACTATTAGACTTATTTTTAATCAAATGCATATTTACCAAAAAGTTCCATTGTAAAGAGATCAAAATTCTCTTCTACCAAAAAGCTTTCAGCAGAAGAATTAACACCCCAAGGTACTTGCTTCCTGATTATTTCCTTTTGCTTCAGTGAGATCAGTTTTTTGAAAGAGCCAGTAATATCTTGTGGTGCCCAGAATATACTCCAGCAGTAGACTTTGAGACCATCTTCTCCTTCACTATGGGAAGGAAGGGGAGATTTATAAGAAGCTTTTATATACATTTATGTAGGTTTTTATTGTTTTAGAGCCAAGTTTAACTAGTTTGCACACTAAACTTTAAAATTCCTGCATGATGGCTTGGCTGCTGGTATACATGGTTGTGTAGACTCTCTTAGTGCAAGTGTTTTTAAGTGGACAGTTTTGGAAATGGTCAAAGGCCGTCCACCACTCTCACCCCTGAAATGCATCTTTCCCACAATGAAAGGCCTGATTCCTTATGAGAACTGTCTGCCAAAATTCAAAACAGATGAATTTTTGTTTCACATCTGAGAACAAGTCTTGCATTTTTGTCAGCTTGAGGAAACAAATTACACAGAAAAATAGAAACAGATAAAATCCAGTTGGAAACTGCTTTTCAAAATTGCATCAGAGGGAGGGATAGCTTCAAAAGTAATCCTTAAATAACCCTGAAGCAAACCTATAAAACAAGTAAAACTTTGGTCTTGCCTGATTGTATCTATTGTTTGCTGACAAAAACTGAAAGCAAAACTCTTCAGAAAAGGTGCTAAGAAGCCATGAAAATTACATATAGCTGTTGGTTTTAAAGTAGGCTACCAAACTTGCCTATTTTCTCTTATTTTAATTCTGCATAACCATCCCGGTTAAGCCATTTAAGACAAAACAAAAAAATACCAAAAGATACTGAGAAACATTTCTTTAATTCAGAGTACATGGACTTACCTAAATGCAGCAACCACTGAATTCAAGTAATATTTCCCTAAGGTAGAAGATTCATAGAATTCTGCAAACTGACAGTTAAATAATTAGAAAGACAAATATAAGACTAAAAAAATTGGTTACATTTTTATGTCTAATAAACTTTTTAAATGGTCATAGTGTGATCACCTCAGTAGTAAATTGCATCTTGCAGATACTGTCATCGTTTTCACAGAAGATAAAAACTTTCTAATTTTAAGAGCAATAGCCACGTACATATTTCTGCTAAAATTTTCATTGCAATGCAGAAAAATTCTCTCTTTTACAACCAAGTCAAAGTAAATCTTTGATTTTTAGCCAGGAAAGAGGATGCCTTCTAAGGGGATTGATAAAAATTTTAACTTAATTATGTATTTAGATTCATTACATAGCATGGCAAATTTCTGGTTTATAATTCAGTCATGGATAACTCATGTTGGCCACATACAAAGCAGCTTTGAGACACTAGATTAACTCTGTTGGGAAATACAGGTTAACAGAGGGCTGCTTTGTGTCTAAAACTTCTGTTCGCATGGACCCAGGAAACTGAATTGATCTCACAAATACAAGCCATGAGAAGTGCAAGAATGCAAGCATTGTTGTGATGCTTGTAAAGGAAAACAAAAAAAAGTGTGTACATTCAATTTAAACAGTACTTAAAAGCCCACAGACAAAGGGAAACAAATCCATTCAAAATAGTTAAGATGGACAGAAAAAACAAATAGAAAAGATAAATGTCATGAACAGAGTAGTGGGTTTCTCTTAATGTAAGAATTTGTACTTCCTCTAAGACGAGCGTACTGCACCTGGTTACTTATATTCCCAGTGCACTACAGCAACACAACAGGTTTACAGCCTCCCAGCCACTTGCCCATCTTATCCAGCACTTGTCTTCAGCTTTGTAACTTAACTCTCTCAAACTAATCCTAGATTTCACTCATTTGAAAGAATAGAAACAATACCTGTGACTCAAAGCTTAACTTTATACTAAAGTTGGAATTTCGCAAGATGGACTTCAACCAGTGGTAAGAAATGCTTCCGAGATTTCTTATTTTACACATGAGAACTTACATAACTCTGGATCATTTCTGCTTGCAGTATAAATTTCTGTGACTTTGGATCAGTGAGGTCACTTGTGTAAGTCAGGTTTGGGATTTCTACACTTCCACCAATATAAATAAATGAGAATGCTGGAGCTAAAAATAAAAAATAAATATAAAGGATCATGCATTAGCAGCTTAATAGACATTGTTGAAAACATTACAGATGCTTGTGAAAGCATTAGATTAAACCTTGATATTAGTGAAGATAGGCCTCTAAGAGAAGTACATGGCTATATGGTGCACACATTGAATCAAGCACCTTTTATTCAGTGACTGAAGACAATACCTTAGAGGGAACAGAACTGTATTGCTACAGGAAAAGAAAACAGGCAAGAGTAAGTCAATTTCTACATATACAGTATATTCACATTTTTATGGTTTTAGGCTAGAATTTTTCAGGGAAGTCTAAAGGAATGAGATATCCAAGCCCTTTTGAAAATGTGCGTGGACTGAAGACAGCTAATCTAGTAGGCTCCTTTGAAAGTTGCAGCTGTCACGATTATGGTATTTGCCAGGAGAGTCAAAAGGACCATTTGTAGCTTTATTATTCTTTAATCACTGTTTATCACTTAAATCAATGCACCCCCTCCTGTCTCTGCAAAATGCTATAAACAAAAAGGGAAACTCATTAATTTACTTTTCTATAAAATGCACCTTTCCAAGCATAATGTATTCAAATTCTCAATGCTTAGCAAAAAACACTGATAAGAGAAATGGCACTTACATAATGAATAGTGCAGGACTAGCACAAATACAGTGACTGCTAAGGAAATAATGGGTAATATTCCTAGATGCCATCTCAGCCGTTTCAAAAAAGAATACTTCAGAAATGAGCTTTCCTCCTCGGAAGACTGGACCCAATACAAGTTTGGACTCTATTTAAGGAAAGAAAAAGGGGGAGGGCGGAATTAAATAGTCAGACAATAAAATGAGGACAGTTGTTCTGCTATACCTCTGCATTTAAAAAAAAGAAACAAAGTTTTCTTTTAAAATTGCAACAATATGCTTTTGCTGTACCGTGAGTAGAAACTTTCACAATTCTAGATTACTCATTTGCAGTTTCAGTTTCTGCTGCCAACTTCAGGATACAGCAAGTTTATCATCACCTCAGTTACGAGCAGGGTCAAATGTGTTCCCAAATAACAATACACACTATTGTTTAAAAAACTCATGGAATAACTCTTAGCTGCAGTCCCTTACCTGCCCAGACACACACTCACAATCATCAGGAGATGGTATGCTGTATACAGCTGACACCCTTTTGGAAGCGACAGACTGTATCATGATGCTTGCAAGATTTGATTCCTGCAAATCAAAATTCTGAAAGAAACTTCATTTAACCTAATTGTTTTAACATCATTCAGAAGAGGTGTATGTCTTCCTCTTGCTTCTTTCCTTTCACCTTCGCCATACTGCTTAGAGAGAGAAACAGCTGATCTGCAATCAAGGTAGGTGGGAAGGGAAAAAAAGTCACCATCACTGTAACTCTTTGTTTTCCTAACTGGCTCAGTAGGATATGGATTCCACAAAAATATCCAAGATCAGTTACTAGTCTTCTTTGGAAAGACATGAGCAAGATAAACTTACAGCTGGTTATGTAAAAGAGAGAGAGAGAGAGAGAGAGAGAGAGTGTGTGTGTGTGTGTGTGTGTGTGTGTTTTACACAAATGTAAACCTCAGGTTGAACTGAATATTCTACTGAACACCAGAAGGAAACCATAGGAATAGTATCAAAGGAGCAAAAGTGCTTAACTTCCATGAAGAAATTACTTCCAGGACTAAAAATAACAATATTGTGCCTCTGTCACAGGAAAAGTGTTGGGCAATATTTTTCTCAGCTTCCTAATTTATTTATTTATTTATAGCAATAGCTTTATGTGGACAAACCAACAAACAAAGTGAAATTGTACCTGTGATGCAAGAAAACTAATAGTACTTTTAAGGCCCAGTTTCAATCATTAATTTTTGAAAAGTCTGAGAAATACAAAAGCCAGAAAGATTCTGTTTGACAGCAGTTAGTCCCCTTTGTGGTTAAGGATTGCAAAACAAATGGCAGGCAACCAATTCTCTTTCAAGTAGTCCTCCTCTTTCAGCCTATGGCCACCTTATAAATAGCCTGTTGATTGACTGGAATTTCTTTACTCAAGACAGAAGGAACATGTAGAAAAGCACTAGTCAAGAACGCTTTTTAAATATCTTTTTTATATTACTAACCATAAGTAAATTAGAGATAAATAAAAAAAAGCTTGAAACCTTAATTTTGTTCAGTGCCCAATTCTGCTGCAGTTTGTACCTATTAAAATTAAAATTCACACACATTTTTAAACACTTTTGCCTGAATAAGAAACAAGAACATGAGTGTCTTTCACAAAGCGGTATTTAAACGCCCTGCTAAAGGACTTCAACATTTTCATCTGAGAACTATCACACAGGCAAACTGTGCAGTACTATCTCCATTTTGAGGAGCTTGAGACATGGAAGTAAAAGTCACTTTCTAAAGGGAAGTGGGTGACTTACTACATTCAATCTTACACTTTTCCTGAATGTATTTCCCTTATTTTCTCCTAGAACTAGTAGAATTTGTGAACAAAATCCATTCTGAAACCTCAGGCATGTGTGTGATAATTGGCAATGTGGTTAAGAAACTGGACACATTTTTTAAAATTAAATATAACATTTAATGGAGGTTTCACCATTAATTTTGTTCCAAGTTGACCATTTCTGAATTACAAAACTGAAGGCACATATCTGTGAATCCACGGAGCAAAATTTGACACCCTTGTGTAGACTCCAGGAAAATTTGGTCTTCCACAGCCATAGCCCCAGCTAACAATACCAGTCAAAAACCATTTCCCATCATAATTGTTTCGACATGACAGAGGTCCACCAGAATCACCCTGAAAAATAAATATTTTAGTTCTACATGGATCTGTAATAAAAACAGCAACTGAGACAAAATCCCAGTGTATTTACTTAAACTTCCACTGAGCTAAATAATTACACAAGAACTTGTTTTTCAAAGAAACAAAGTAAAATGATGACAATACAAACCAAACTTCTCCATGTACATCAATGTATACCATGGAGGACCAAGATATGGCCTATGGGCCAGATCCAGGTCACGAAATCTTGTCATCCAGCCTGTGGGGAACCTTATGGATCTAAAATTTTGCCAGTGTGGCAAGTGGTGGAAGCATTAAATGTCACAGTTCTTGGAACCTTGGCAATTAATGTTGCCAGCTCTCCACTTGCCACCAAATTTCCAGACCCTGGTGGGAGCCCTACAGGTCAAATCCAGAGCATGCAGCCATATCATCTTGCCTGCAAGGCTATCTATGGAAGAAAAAATCTGGTGTCAGGAAGAGTAGCAGCTGCCAGGGCTTCAGGAAACACGGCAATGAATGCTGCCACCACCAAATTCCAGGCCCACAGGCCAGATGATACAACTCTGCACTCCAGATCTGGTCTGCCACTGATGCAGGGCTACATGAGTTGGGCACCATTGATTTATATGCTTGTGTATTTAGCTTTTCCATCATCTATTTCTTCATGATTTGTGATTAAATTAGGCTTAATTCCCTCAAACTGGACTTAAGCTTACTACTAAAAAGTAATAACGTCATTGAGGATTTCAAGTTATCTTCCCCGGATTCAGACAGAGATGAAATTCTGTCTCTGCACACCAGATGAAATTCCGATGTATGCACACCTTCTCCTGATTTCTTAGGTAGTTTAATACATTAGCAGTAGTTCCATGCATACCTCTAAAGGAAAAACCTAGACCCCTATATTGGTATTCCACACAAACTGGTAACATCTTAAAAATACACACACACGTGTCATTAAAATTTAAAACTAAGATGCATAAAAAGGATGGTAAGGGACCCAATCTACCCCTATTTAAGTTAAATGCAAGTACAAACCAATTGGAACGATTAATTAAGCCATCATCTTCCGTTATATTATTAAAAAGCACAGTGTAGCAGCTTTTAGCTTTAAAATATTTATAAAGAAATAATAAAGCATTTCGAAATTCATCATTAAAACATCTCCTGTGAAATGTGTGAACCCTGACAAAGAGAATCTAGTAACGGCTTTTCTTTTTCTCCATCACTAAGTTATCCTACAGGTAATACTATATGTATATATGGGGGCGGAATTTGATGATCTGTCGTATCATTCCTCCATCTTCCTGGCACAAATTTATGTCCAGGAGTAAGATTCAAGTATGCCCTTAATTTGGTAGCGGATGCCCCAAAATAAAGGTACAGTAGGATAATTACTAGAGTTAGTTATAATAATTCCAATGGAAGTATCTAATTTAATTAACTCAAAATGTTGGCACAGTTGTATTGATTATATCTGATTTTTTGACTAGGCTATTTGACTGAATTGTAGAAGGATTTTATTTGGACTTGGTAACAATTTAGCTCACAGATTAGTCAACGATCCAACTCCAATATTATCATTAACAACAACCAAAACAGGACGCTTTGGTGTTACTGAAGCAATATTTGAGAATTTGTATATTGTTGTAAAATTCAAAGATGCAATTTTTTGTCACAATTCAGGAAATTTTGAAGTGTTGGCTTTTCCTACAGAATGGAAATTCAATGACTTGATAAACTCTAGTTATTACCAGATACCAATCACTACCATTGACTTCAGGAGAACACATACCAGTCTTCCATGCCAGAGAAGTATAGCTGATGCATATTAAATTTCCTTTCCCTGAGTTTTGGCCAGCAAGCCAACCACATGGCTGCATGATTGGAGAATATTCTTCAAGTAAATAAAGCTTTAAATGCTTTTTACTTGCCTTGTCTGACACTAATGGAAGGATAAAAAATAGGTCCAAAGCTTAATCCACATTTGTATATCAGCCAGTACTGCGAAGGACTTAAAAACTCAGATGGTGAAGTTACACGTTACACTTGGACCATATGAAATCCAAGGAATTTTAAGTGGTGTTAAAGTTAGAATGTGTTGTGAGCAGTTGCATGATAAAGGTTCGGGGGCTGGGACATGTGACTTATGAGGAGAGGCTGAGGAAACTGCGTTTATTTAGTCTGCAGAAGAGAAGACTGAGGGGGGATTTGATAGCAGCCTTTAACTATGTGAAAGGTGGTTCCAAAGAGGATGGAGCTGGACTGTTCTCAGTGGTGACAGATGACAGAACAAGGAGCAATGGTCTCAATTTGCAGCAAGGGAGGTTTAGGTTGGATATTACTCACTGGGAAAAACTCTCTCCCTAGGAGGCTGGTGAAGCACTGGAACAGGTTACCTAGAGAGGTGGTAGAAGCTCAATCCATGGAGGTTTTTAAGACCCAGATAGACAAAACCTGGCTGGAATGATCTAGTTGGGGCTGGTCCTGCTTTGAGCATGGGGCTGGACTAGATGACCTCCTGAGGTCTCCTCCAACCAACCATAATTTTCTATGATTCTAAGATTATTTGCTTTCAATGTTCAGTCAAGTTATTTCCACATAGTAGCTCATTAGTGAGGCTAGAGTCTCTCATTTTTAGTTGGTCTTCATCTATTAAGCCACACACTGCTCACTGTCAGAGATACTTGGACAGAGTCCACTGGCTCATACTGGCAGACTTGCTGATAAGGAGATCTGTTGTTCACTGCTAATTTTAAGGGTAGAGCTACATGTGTGCTGAGAGAGTTAACTATTGTCAATATATCAGTGATTACTTTCCTACTCCTCATAATGGAACAATAAGAGAATAACTGGTTTTGAGCTGAATTTAGATGATACATACTTTGCAGCCATCTCTTTTCCCAGACATAACCCCCGCACATAGCATCCTGGCTGTGATAAGCCCATATATCGAATGACACAGTGTTTGGTCAAAAATTCCTATTTCTGCTTTCTGCAGAATTGCTGAACCATCATCATCTGGAAAACACATTGAAAAAAATCTGATTTATTAAACCCTCAAAATTATTCATGTGTTTTTAAATTATGCAAAAATCTACAAAATGTTATCCACAAACAGTTTAGTTCCTTGTGCCTGGTGAAGACAATCTTAACTATAAGATTGTGGGCCACAAATAAACTGTTTTGTCTGAGATGTATGCCACAGTGTCAGTTCCTTCCTTTGTATCTTTTATCTCTACCCAACACTGTACAGATAAGGGCCTGCTTTCATCTATGAAAGACAGCTCTGTTTCGAAACAGTTTATCACTGCTATTTGTTGTTCCCATTTGTTCCCTGGCTACACTGCCCTGCATCTTGACAAAACAAATAGGGCTGTTTAGAAAATAATGGCACTTCTTGAAATGTTCTGATATTCCAAACATTTCCACTTCTTATTAGAAAGAAAATGTATCCTTTCAAGTTATGTTGTTTTGCAAGAGACTCACTGGCGGCTTGGTGGTTAGAGCCCAGGCCTGGTTAGAGCCCAAGGTTCAGATTTCTGTTTCAGAGTAACTGGGGAGGGAGACTCTGCTATCTCTAAAATGTTTTGCAAAATATCTGCTTTGGCTAGGAGAGAATTTACTCATATTTTTCTACCAGATCTAACAGTAGTAACTGCTCCACTTAAACAGAAAAGAGCCTAACAATACAAATTTATCAGACTTTAAAAATAAATAAAATTTTTAAAAAAATCTTTTCCACTCTCCCTACTTTGTGTTAGTAGTGTGCAGGCTTGTTCCTCTTCATTTTGGAATTATACTAATTTAGAAGATCCATTAACAAGTTGTCTGTCAACCTTGCCCTCATTAAAAGCAAAGAAACAAAAGATATACAGGAGAAAGGAAGAAGTGTACTCTTGAGGCTCTCTCTGAAGCTGCAAGACGAATCTAGGACAGAGAGGACTGACCAAACCGAGAAGACTCCATGATTCAGAAACAGGCCATGAGTGCCACAAAAGGATCCTAGATTCCCTAGGAAATTTAACTCATGCTCCAAGAAATCCCAACTGGTGAGGAAACTTGAATAAGATTTACTGTTTTTAGTCTGGAACTTCGCACTTTTTATGCTATGAAAAAGCATGGAGTGAGTGAGTCCCTGCACCTATCACGTAGCTGTTTAAGACTTAAATGCAAACCAATAGGTTCACATCTTCACTGGAATTCAGTGATAGGTATAATCCAGTGACAATAGAGTCTGAGGAGACAATACAAGGCTTGGGAGATGGAAGTAGACCCCAGATTCCGTCTCTCATAAGCTGTGCACTAGATATGCCAGAAAAGAATTAATACCTGGACTGTACTCTGACTCAAAGAGGATAAAGCAGATTAGGGGGATTTCAGCATGTCAGTCACCCACCCCAGATTAGTTTTGTAAGTACTCATCTAGGAGAACCTAACCCAATATACAATAGTTAGTATGAAAAAGAAACATTATGTTAGATCAGTTAGATCAGGGGTGGGCAAATTGCAGCCCACAGTCCGGATGCGGCCCACCAGGCCATTCTAGCTAGCCCGCAGGACCCCTAAAAAAAAAAAAAGAAAATTAACAGTTATCTGCCCCTGGCTGCCTGTCATGCAGCCCTCGATGGCTTGCCAAAACTCAGTAAGTGGCCCTCCACCCGAAATAATTGCCCACCCCTGAGTTAGAGTCATCCCCTGAGACCTTAACACAAATCATTATTTCCCATTCTGCCTGGTTCCCACAAGAACTCTGGCCTGCTGAGTTCTCCAAACAAGATATCATACTTGATTTTCTTGGGAAGGTTATTTCGGGACACTGAGACACTAACAGTGACAGCCAGTGATCCAAAACACACATCCCAGCATATTAAATTGAAGGTCGGGCTGGATGCATCCCAGTTAAATGTCCACTATCCTATAATCTACCTCATTTCTCAGTTAGCTGAAAATAGTGCTTCTCCATTCTCTCTAGACTGTACAACAAAATAAAATCTCCTTCTAGAAAGTATTGTTCCGTATGGAACAGCCCTGTTTGAATCAATAAATGTGTAGATTTCACTATCATATTAAATAACAAAGTGTCTCTCATCATTGCCAATTAATCCCTAAGCGTTTACATAAACTGCTAACAAGCTAGAAGAAAGCTATCTTCTCCATTTCTGAATTCAGTACAGAGACTATTACAACAGATCTCACAAATGAGTAGTTAACAGATTATACTATCACTGCATTAACCAAGTATGAAGAATAGAGCAAGCAAAGGAGAATTTGAGCCTGGACTTTTTTACTGCAATAAACAGTGCAGTGGCAACTAATTCTAGATACAAGTCAAATGCAGAGCCACTGCAACTTTACTCAAGAGAACAGAGATGCTGCTGCTTATACACAGAGCTGCATAAGGCTCCCCTGCCTCTTGCCTTTGGCCCCAACCTGTTACCCAGCACTTCTCACCCCCATGTGCTTTATGTGAAAGAGGAGGTATGCAGATGGGCTGAATGACATGTCTCATTGTGTCAGGCCAAGGTATGCTTAACTGTAGCAGTGCAATATCATAGTCATAGTTTCTGCTGTTGTAGTATTCATGGACAATGATTCGTCTGACTGAAGACACAAACTTGGCCTTCCCTTGAGTGCGCATCCCCAAGTGTGCAGTCCAAGCTCTAGGATCAGATAACCTAATTGAGAAGAGAGCAATACGCCATTGACATTTAGGATAACTTTTTAGGGAACACGTCCATAGCATAATGGTAAGACCAACCTGTTAAAAAAAACAATGGACTTCAAGCAGGAGGGAACCAAAGTAGAGGCTGCATGACAGCTATCTTCTTTGACCCATAAAAATTTTTTTTAATGTTTCATATTATCTTGCCTACTGCTGTTGGCAGGAGTCACCAATACTATCCAATAGATGCTTGCTTGTATTTCAAAGTTAAGCTTCCCAGGGGTCTGTGCTTAAAGATGTTTTCAAAAGCTTGAACCCAGGGGAAAAAGTAAGGTTTTTCCACATATGTGAACTAAGATATAAAAAAGGAATATTTTCCCTAATATTACGTTGGCTGAAACAGCTCATTTAATTTTCAGAGTTAAATGAAGTGAAATGATATCAGAGTATGCAAATAAACCATTGGGTGCTACATCTACCACCACATGCAGATGTGTTAAGAACAGTTTGAGTGCATTAAGTAGAAGTCATTATTTACCTGGTCCCCTGAAAACAATGAGCTGCAGACACAAGCCATTCCCTTGCAATCACTGAAGCCCCACAATGAGGAACTCCCACAAAATGGAGACCGACTTGCCAAGGCCATTCACCTTCTTCTGTGTCAGAGCCTCCTATGATTCGATGGACATGGACATGACTGTTTCTGCTGCTGCCACAGCCTGAAAAAGAATGTTTGGGCTTATTTTATTTCTAGTGCTGTCACACTGATCATGGGTTAGGCTGCTTTTTATAAGCAGAGAAAGAAAAAAAATGCCCCACCCCTTAAAAACTTTATGACTGCTTTTTACTGAAAAGCTTTCAAAAGAAGCAGAAGTCTTAGATTTGTTTTATCACTACTTGGGAACCAAAAATGAGGTTGGTACATTGGCATGGAACTGTGGGAAATCCAGGTTCTTTTCACAGTTCTGGCACAGACTATGGGTAAGTCACTCACACACAGTTGCCCTTGATCAAACTCCATGTGGCCACACTTGGTCTGGAACAAAAGTGCCCATGCTGGAGTTAGTCAGGAGCAGCTCATGTGCTTAAAATTCACTTAATTCACTTAAAAATTAATTAATTCACTTAAAATTCTAAACCCTTATCTTCTGTGTCCTAATTTGATGTTTAGGAAGCATCCTTATTTCAATGTTGGAAGGATTCACTAAATATATAAAACAGAGAGAAAAATATAAAACCCTCATACCCATTCAAGTGCTTCAACCCCTGAACTAAAATGATGCCTTTGGAGAGAAAAAAACAAAGTTCAGCATCACTGAACTTTAATTCTTGTTCCAATATATTCAAAAAATGAATCATTGACAGTTAAAGCTGCATGATTTGGATACTTAATCATCTGGGCCCAATGATTTGAAGTAAACCCAGAGCCTGAAATTTCAGTGTTGTTAACTCACGAATTGCTGGCACCATGATTTTCACTCCCTGCTACAGTTTTATTACACGAAAATATCATCCAGAAATTTAGCAGGTAAGGGAGAGAGATCCGTCAACAAGAACTTCCTCAAGCTCATTTCAGAAACAACTGAGACTAGAACTTAAGGATGTGAAACAGTGTAATCTACGCAGTTTTTGTACAAATATGTAAATTACACCAGGATAAGGAGTGGACAGATAAACAGTTATCCTGGAGTAGTAGCCACAGTAAGCTCAAATGCAGTATTGGATAGAAGGAGGAAGTAGTACATTAGTTGGATTGAGCAAACAAATTTCCTCTGGTAGCCATGGACACATGACAGCTAAGCCAGCATATTTTTGGCTGATACTTTTTCCTTAGTTCCATGGGGTTGCTCCTCTTTTTTGCTGGTGTAAAGGTAATTTACATTGGTGTAAATCAGTATCCATTTTAGTTAAGAGGATATAACAGAGCAAAATCTCATCAATTTTTCTGCCATCATTCAGATAGAACCTTTGTCATCTATATAGTATCTCTTTTTCCCAACCCTTACTGCTTAATCACATGTAGGAGTAATTGGTGAATCTGGCACTATTTACAGTTCAAGAGCTCTAGTTCTTTACCTAAGATGATACAGGTTCATGCTTTCACATCCACAGATATTGGAGTTGTCTGTACAAATCGGACTCAACAGCAACTTTGATGATGCTATGTGTAACTGCTAGACCACACTGAACCCAGTGCCAGAGAGAAATGCAGCAGGCAAAGAGCTTAAGTTGAGTCCCAGGCTTGACATCCTGCTGTTTTGATTGGTGGAGCCCATCCACCAATCAGGAGGCAGCAAGAGAAATAAAGGCATGTCCCTTTCCTGAGGGGCGGGGGAGAAGAGCTCTCTCGGACCTGATTGAAGACTGCAAACTGTCAGGTCCAGAAGACTTCAGGGGCGGAGCCCTGGAGCTGCATGCCCAGCACAGGGTGCCGATGCAGCGAGGGACTCAAGAAGAGCGGAGCCAAGACAAGCTGGGGAGCTCTCCTCCAGTGGGCAATAGGCCAAGGATCCTGAAGCTGCCACTGGATGAGCAGCCTTGGGCTGCTGATGGCACACAAGGACGGTGTGCAGAGACCCGGCCCTGGGAGCAGTGTAAGACAGCTTGGGCCCATCACAGTGAGTGGTTCAGTGCATGAAGCCCAGGCTTTGGGAGCTGCAAGGGCAGCTTGAGCCTGTAACCCTGGCAGGGCCAGCAGGCCACACAGTGTACGGGGCAAGGGCCTTGGGGGCCACAGTGAGGCAGCTCAGGTCCCATCTCCTGACAAGCAGCCAGGTCTTACAGTGTACAGGGCGGCACATGGGCCCAAGCCTTAGGAGCCAGGGGCAGCAGAGGCTGCTTGGGTTAGCCACCCGGCATGAGAATGGCTGGCTGGAGCCTGAAGGGCCCGGCCTGTGCTAAAAGAGCCCTCGGTGCCGAAGCCAGGGCACAGGAAAATAGTAGTGCTGCAGCATGAGGCCCAGCACCCAGGAGCCAGCAGCAGTGGTGCAGCAGCTGAGAGGAGCTGAGCCCTCAGTGCCCAGAGCGGGGCACAGGGTGGTGAGGAGCCCAGTCATGTGGGAGAGGCCTGGAGAGGTGCTCCAGCAGAGGAGACCCCATCGAGCTGTGCCCTGACCACCGCCACCTGAGGCAGCAAGTCACTGGGCCCTTGGGTCCCTCAGGGGAAAGACATTTGGGGTGGGCAAACCCAGAGAAGGGGCTGGGGGAGCAGCCTCTCACCTAGTCAAGGCCCTAAGGGGAGGGGCCCCTGGTGCTTCCTGGACACCCCCAAGGGACCCCATTGGAAGGAGGACTATCTCTTGCCATAGGTCAGGGACTATATTAAGGAGTTGGTGTTATTAAGATTGTTCCTGTTTGCACCTTAGATTTTGTAATTGAAATGTTGTATTGTGATGTTGTATTGTGTTGATGCTGCTGAAATTGCTTTATTGTGATGGGTACATAGTGTTATTTAGGGTTTGACCTTGGTTACTGATTAATGTTCACTGTGTAAGTATATATATATGATATTTAGTTTTATGATTATGTACATTATAACTCAATAAACTGTATTGCAGAAACTGGGTTGCAGAAACAACAGAAAGCTGATAACCAGCATTGCATTGCCACTTCCAAACATATGCATTACACTGATATTGCACATTGTTTCTCTGTCCAAAGGTTGAGCCACATAAAGGATCAGAATATTTGAGGTAATAAAACTTAACTTTCCTGAAAGCAAGGCCTCATTCTCAAGAGCCTAACTCTGGTATATATGGAGGACAAGACAATTCAAGCTATTGCCAATGAGCTACACAATCTCATGAGTATGCTGGCCAGTCTGAATCCAGCCCTGTTTAGCAGGGACTTAAGTCTTGTCTACCCTACCATCTTTCCCAGCATAGTCCTCCAGGGGAGAGACTGTGTGCAACAGCTAAAGCAGGGTGGGAAATTCTTTGGCCGGTCACTTAAGGAGTTTTGGTGAGCTGTTGTGGGCCAGAGGTGGGGGAAACCCATGACAACTGATCCTATCTGGCCTCAGGTCCATCTGTCCTGCACCCACTGCTGGGCTTACTAGATGGAACAGGTGAGTGGAGAGACCATCCCAGGAACCCCACCGGCAAGACATACTTGGCTGAGTGCATGGGATGGGGCCACAGATGGGCAGGGATCAGTATCTAGGAGAGCGATGGGTGGCAGGGCTGGGGCTAGTGCTGGGATTGTGGGACAGTGACAGCATGGGGGCCAGGGCCTGGGACGTAGCGACAAATCTGCTCCCTGCCTGTCCCTGCCCTTGGAACCAGTGCCTGTTGCAGGGACATGCAGGGAATGGATCACAGGTCTAGCCTGGGCCCCAGCCCTACACTGTCACTGACCAGCGATCCCGGGCCTGGACCCACTCGCCTGTTTCTCTCCTGGACTCCACTCTCCGCCCACCCATGGCCCCATCCCATCTCACCAGGCCAACTGAGTGCTCCCTGCCTGCTGGGATCCCAGGCCACTCTCCATAGAGACCACGTCCACCCACCCACTCTGTTGGGTGCCCCCAGCAGCGAGTGTGGGGCAGATGGGCTAGGGTGCCTGGGCAGCAGGGTCAGGTCTGGCAGCATAATTCAGAGACACTGGCAGCAACAGATGGAGAGAGTGAGCCAATACTGTGGGGGCTGCCTGGAAGCCACCCCCTGCCTGCCATGGTGCCCCTGTCTGCCATGTGCCCGGGGGCAGCAGGACTGGCTGCATGCACCGTAACCCAGGCTGCCCCACTGTGCCTGGGCTTGGCGGGGCTGAGGGACCTGCCGCAGGCTAAATCGAATCTCTGGGCAGGTTGGATCCAGCCCACAGGCCAGATTTTGCCGACCCCTGAACTAGAGGCATGCCATGGTACCGTGTCTGGCACAGTTGTATCTGCACTTTGGCATTTTCTTGCAAAGCTGTATCAGCTAGATTTTTCACACTCCTGGTAAACAGTTTTATTTGTTAATACCTTGGCACATATAGATGAAGATCATAGGCTTTTATTATGTCATGGAAATTTGGTTGCTGGTCCCTATGTAAAATGAGTGTTAACTAATCTAACTTTCAGCTCCCATGTGATAAACTCACCCTCATGCTTTCCATCAGAATAGAAGCTCTTCAGGGCAAGGACCACTTCTCACCACATGTTTGTACAGCACATAGCCAGAGATCCAAGGATCAGCTGGGGCCTGCAGTTTTGCAGGCAATAAATCTCACTTACTATAAAGCAACAGCAGTTGGCAACGTGGTCACATTCATTGAGGAAGAGGGGTAGGAGCAGGGGGCATGAGTTTAAAAATCATAAAAACCCAAATCATGATTTTGGTATCCAACTAGCAGTTTCAGCCGGACATGAGAATACTAGGATTTGTGAGAAGATTTGCAGATTAATTGATTAGCTAAACATCACTGTTGAACTAACCCTTATTCTTTTAAAATATAAGACTTAAAACAGAAAAGTAGGTTGAGTTACAGCTTCTCAGAAGAAAAACTTTTGATAAAAGCATCATACCAAGTATGTATTGATCTTTATGCATTAGCTCACTGGTATCACAATCACAACACTTCTCAGTCCCATCAAGACATTAATCCTCTGTGGACATGCATAGCAATGAGAAGAAAGTATATACACATGAAAGGCATATCCTGATGAGTACACATTTGTAGTTCATGGCACCTCAAACCTGTTTGTAGCACCACAAACTGCACACATGCAATTGTGTGCCACACTGCAGATTTGCAGCACAGCATCAAAATTTGATACTGGGATGTCCCAGTATTAAAAACTGCCACAAAAAACGGCGTGGTGTATGCAACAGCGTGCACTGCCAGAAATGAAGCCACGGATCCTGTTGGCCAGGATCCATGTGGCCAGATCAGTGCCATCGCTGCCCTGGGAGGCCCCCAGGACCTTAGAGAAGGCTACTGAGGCCAGCATAGGTGCTGGCCCCAGCCTTCCCTTCCCTACCCCACCAACGGCCCCAATTTGGCATGCACTAGAGCGTGCCCTGGGGCACAAGGGTGTGGTTGTTTTGGTGCCCCTGGAAACACATGTCTCTGCATGTGGGGATGCACCCTAAATGGGAAAGGAAAGCAGTGTAATTTAAATGCAAAACCTGATGCATGAAGTTTAAGATTAGAGAGAGATACTTACTGCAGTTGTTTTCATCACTTTGATCAATACAGTCCACTGTCCCATCACATTTTGCATTTCGCTTTCTAATGCAAATGTTATTGCTGCACTTAAAAGTATACTTGGTACAAGGAATACCTGCAAAAACAAAAAAGGCTGTATGACTAATGGGTTGTCTGCACCCAAAAATGTAGATCTTTGCCCTCTGAGCTCTTTTTTCTAAGGACACAAAAGCTTCTACTGGGTAACATTGCTTTTAACATCACAGTATTTAAAATGGTTCCCTCTACTGAGCAACTATAACTGCATCTTTACTACAGCTTTGACCAAACCAGCTGTCCCTTCGCCTCTCTGTCCTAATCAACCAACAAAACTTGGACCAAACATTTATAAGGCCACATAAAGCAGCAATTACATAAGAAACCAAAGTATTTATTATAAGAAGTACAACTTAGACAAAGAGAAGCACCTAAAATAATTTCAAATAAGCTGCCCTTCCATTTCCCACGTCCAGCTCATCTTGACTACAGTTTGGGGGTGGCCAGAGTTACTCAGCCTGGGAGCCACATGCAATCCTCCACGAAGTTCAAGAGCGGAGACCTGGGGGGACAAGGTGCGGGGGGATGAATAGCAACCCAGAGTGGAGGTGCCAGGCCCCCCCTGCACCCTCCTGGCTGTACTTTGGCCACCATGGCTTGTCCTCACAGTGGCTGTTTCCCCCCCCCTTTCCTCCCCCCCCCCTTCTGGCAGCCACTGGACACTGGACGCAGGATCAAGCTCCTGCTGCCACAGTGCCAAGTTGCTCCAGCTTTCCCCATGGGGAGCACACCCTGGAGTAAGCGACATGGCTGCAGCCCCTGCCCCAGCAGCCCAGCGCGTGAGCTAGCAGTCCCAGAGGAAGAGAAGGAGGGTGGGCTTGGGGCATGCTCCGCATGGGGAAAGCCAGAGCAGTGGGAGGTGCCAGGCTGTGCAGTCCCTTGGAGCCACCTTGGGGAGAAGTGGGCAGGGCTTCAGGCAATTTCCGAAGAGCCACAAGTACCATGCTGATGAGCTGCATGCAGTTTGGCCACTGTGGCTATAGTTGATTGCAATTCAGACAAACGTTTTATTCTACCACATATGGAATGAACCATGAAAATTTATCAGATCAATAGAATTAAGTTCAGAGCTAAAAAATATAAGTCACTTGCCTGAAAAAATTCTGTTTTGTAGCATTCCCCCAATTTTTTTTTTTTTTGGCTTCTTACCCATTTTTAACTCCTCTGTGAAACTACATCTTTTTGTCTCAAAAGTATTTACGCCTAATGCCTAATAATAAAATTCACCACTTACATAGCAGTGGTCAGACTACCATTTAGTCCTAAAATCCTAACAGAAACCTGGAAGACAAGTTCACACAGTTACAGCTGTTTTTGTAATGGGAACACAGAACTTGTTCAAGTTTGTATTGTGCATAGAAAACATCTGAATTTGAATTTTTCAACTCCTAGTTCACAAGAGTCAATTGTGCTGCATGAGACTGCAGCTCGTGCCTGTGGACTTATTAAAAGGAGACATTTTGGCTACATACAAGTGTTCCACTTAGTGTGCTTTAAGCACACGGAAGGTGCTTTACAGCTGTAACAGAATAGATGTTCATGGCACAAGGGACACCTATACACAAGGAGCAAGGCTGCTCGGATGCGCTATAGATTAATTGAGCTTACTGGAGCATGGTAATTACTGCACTCCAGCGTCTCATGTGTCAGTGCCCCCTCCCTGTCCCCCACAGTTAAAAATGGTGGCAGGGGTGCTTTAACTAAAATTTGTCAAATGAGCTTTAGTTAAAGTGCCTCTGCCTCCATTTTTAAGCACAGGGATGCTGATACATGAGACACTCTGCGTGCTTTAATTAGAGTGGTTCTCGGAGGCACTCTAATTAAAGTGCCCCGTCCTACTCCTAGAGCATGTGTAAAAATGCCCAAAGTACTTTAAAAAAGGTGGATCCTGCTTAAAGTTAACTCTGGATGGGTGTATGGATGTATACTAACCTATAGTGCTTTCTGTTAGAGTACTTTGTTGAACACCTGTGACAAGGTCAACTTAGAGTGTGATCACTACCATCCCAGGTGGTGTTGCATAGGTCTGCACTCTAGCATCAGGCAGAGCTCACTTGCTCTCCCCAAGCCTAGGCTTGCCCTGCCCTCCCAGCTATCACTGACCCCAGAACTGCATGAAGTCTGGCGGGGGGAGGGGTAAAGGTATGAGGGAAGCGGGGTTTCTGTTTCTACAGCTGCCCTAACTCACCACAGCTGGGGGATGGGGACAGCCTGTAGGGGAAGGAGTCCCTACTCTCTCCCAGCAGCTGCCCTGGCCAGGATGTGGCATGCTGCTGCTTGGTTGGAGACAGGGAGCTGGGGGCTGTATCCCTGCAGCAGCCCTGGCCAGGCAGTACAATAGCCCCCCACCTCCACCAGGCCATGCTGCAGTGGTGCCCTGCCAGAGCTGCTGCAGGAACACGGACCCTGGGGAAGCCCTGCAGAAGCCCCGGCTGGGTCACACTGTGTGGTAGTTGCTGGCTGCAGCTTTCAAGATGCTGAGGGAGAAAGGGAGCCCTGCCACATGGACCTGCCCCCATATGAGACCCCAGCCAGTTGTGGGGGGGCTCTGTTCCCCACCTGCCTTGCCCCACTAGCTGCTGCTGACAGTGGCCAGCTGGTGGAGGGGGGTCAGTAGAGGAGTCATTCTGGCAGCCTTGCAGGTAGCATGTGGGAGAGCTCCCGGCAGCCTGTACAGGCAGGCTGCAAGCCCTCTCTCCCCAAAACAGGAAACATCTGTTCAGCTGCCTCCTGCTTTAACTTGTAGTGCCTTGAGTAAAGTGCAGTAAGTTACAGCACTTCCACCATGGGCTTTTTAAACATCTGTACTTAGCCACTGATGTTCAGATTATTTAAGGGGATCTTAAGAAACTAAGCATCATTTTCTACCCATACAAAAAATGTCTAAGATTTTTGGCAGAGTTTCAAAATACTCTTTGAAAGGAACTAATCTGTTACTAGAAGTCCAATAATGGCTGGATACATGATAAAAAGTGAATATGGTTGCTAAAATGCTTACTTTCAGTGCAGTTCTGCTCATCGCTGTCATTTTCACAGTCAGCTATTCCATTGCAAGCAAGTGAATGATGCTGCATCAAGAAGCTGGAATTACAGTTGTGCCTGGGTACAGCTAGAGAAAGAAGATGTCAGATAAGGAATGAAAATGCTGTGGTTAGGTTTGGAGGGCTGTCGTGTTCATGCCACTATTGTTGTGACTGCTGCTGTGTAAAAGTTTCAGAGCTGAGTTGGATGGAGATTTAACTAAGGTACCCAAGGTCTCACACACAGCAAATAAAAAAGTCAGTAACTGGAACCAAGTGTTTAAAATCCTGATCACATTGAATCACTAACATATACCTCCTTATGTACTGGGCATAATGAAATTTGATATCCACTTTGACTGGAACAGAAATTTCAGCCTTTGCTTACTAGTTATTTTTAATTAGATGTTCAAGTATTCTTTCCACCAGGTGACTTTTAGAGGTATCCTATCCTGAAAGCTAAGGGCTGTTGTGCTAGCTCACCATGCAGCCATCAAAACCCAGAACTAGGCATTCAACAAGAACTTGCATTGCTAAAATAAGAAGGTAAACAGTAAAGAGAAGGCTTGTTTCAGCATGAGAGAGAGCGTGAGAGACCATGAGAGCCATTTCTCTCTTTCGTCAGCTTTAACAAGCTGTTTCCGCTGCACTGGAGAAAGCTCCAAAAGTTAAATATGGATAAGTATCCCACAAACTCAGTGCAAATTTGAATGCATCTTAGCCTGTAAAAGCGGTCTGGAAATTTTCAGTTTTTCAGTACTTCCCTCCATTTGTTTAAGTTGTAACATAAGAAGACACAAATGCATTCACTTGGTTTCTCTTTTCAGCTATTTAGTAAGTGAATACTGACCACAGAAGAGCTCATCACTTTCATCAAAGCAGTCATTTATCCCATCACAGCGCTGCACCTGCTGAATGCATAAACCAGTGGAGCATTCAAAGTAGCCAGCTGGACATGCTGAAAGCAAAAGGACAATTTACAAATGCTCTGCTTTTTAAAAGCTCATAGTCCCATCTTAGCTAACTGATTTGAAGCTAATTAACGATTGTATCGGTTTACCTGCGTTACCAATGGCTGCATACCATAGTTCATTTTTCTACACTTCACTCAGCTTCCAATGCTGAAGCTCCAACATTCTAGTGATTTTAAATATCCAGATTCCCTTTCTGATTTCCCATTTTTCCTTAATACATATTTTATGTGTACGCTGTCCCAAAACTTCCATCACTGCAGCATATAGCTCACATATCTTAGCATGTTGGGTCCAGGCAAGTCCAACTACACTGTATAACAAAGGTTAAGACAATTCACATAACTTACACACCAGCTCTTTCATAGTTAAACATGCTTCTGACAGTCTCTAAAGGCTATCAGCAATTCCACAGTAGCTATCACTGAGGAAAGTTTGTGCAGGACACACGCATAGCAAAACAAATTAAGGTACATTTGTAAATGCCTTTTAACTACAGATTCAAAGAAGTAAAATGTTGAGAAAATGACCATGCTTACACAGCATAAGACCCTATGCAGTGAAGTAATCTAAGAACACAAGAGTTATACATGTAAATTATTATTCCTTCATCACATTAACATAGAAATTGGTTAAATGTTTTCTATATTTAAATAGAATTTTTTAATCATTTTGCCACAATATATCCTTAAATCTCTCCCTGCCTCCATTCTCTCCTCTCTCTCACACACACACACACACACACACACACACACACACACACACACACACACACACACACACACACACGAGTCCTCCCTTTTATGCAGCACCCTCTTCAGTAAAATGTCTTCAGTGTTTCACACCCAGCAGATGGGGTTGGCTATCAGATGAGGGTGGAATTTGGCCCTGATTTCTTTATGGCCAAACATGCACATTGATGAAAAAACTGGCATGGGATGATCTTATTAATCAATATACTGTTCACTTGGGGGAAGTCTCTTGTTCAGCAACAGTAGAACAATATAGAGGAGACATCAACGATAGAGCCTTTGAAAAAAGTAACAGCAACAGAATGCTGGACAACTGGCAGACAGGTGCATGCACCCCCTCCCATTGGCAGCTTTCACACTGTTATTCCACTATTTACTTAGATTCAACATCTCTCTCTGTCTTTCTTTAGATTAGTAAAGAAAATTATTTCCTCGGGACAAATCCTTCCAGCGTTTCATGTATACAGTCAAATTTACAGTGATTTAAGACCTGTGAAAGCTGGTGGACATTTTTCTCAGTAAGAGTGGTTCTCAGAGCATTTATCAGAAAAAAAAAATTAAATTCGGCTTACGTTGGCTGATGTTGTAACTTCCATATTCCACCAGAAGTGGCTGCTCGGAAAGCCTGGAACTACACTGAAGCTCAACATTAACTACAGAGCTTGCAACACGGAAGACTGTTTGGTGATCAACATAATAACCACAGTACCTAAAAGTGAGCAATAAAAATATTGTTTAAAAAAAAAAAGCAGCTTTCACTCTTAAGCACTTTATGTAGTATTTTAATATACAAATAATTGAAAGGCTCACACAATGCATGCCTAGAGAAGTTGTGAAATCTCCATTCCTGGGTATTTTCAAGACCAAGTTAGATAGCTCTGAGATCCCCGGTGCAGGGTGTACTCAGAGCCCCTAGAACCCTGCTTTGTCGCTGGTTCACTCTTCCCTTCCCCAGATTCATCAGCAGGGAAAAGAACCAGGACAAGCAGCAGCAGCATGGAGCCTCCAGAGCTGAGTGAAAGCAGGGTCTGTTGGTGGCTAGCATGGTAGTCAGGGATGATCCTGCCTTGAGCAAGGGGACAAACTAGATGACCTCACAAGGTCCCTTCCAGCCCTACTTTCTTATGATCCTATCATCGAGCCACCTGCCACATTTTAGCTGATGCTACAAAGGCAATCTTAATTGAAAGAGAAGCCTATCTCCCAGAGAAGTGCAAAAGCAGGAGTAGTGGAATGCATACGAATTTGTACCTATCATTCCAAGAAGTTCAAGTGTTCCAAATCAAGAGCAATGGGAGATAGAGGGGGAGGGAGCCAAAGCATCATAAATCTTCTATATCATAAAACATCTGTCTGCAGGAAGAGCTTTAATATTTGATGTACAAAGTCAATTAGTAAGTATTAACATAGCCTATTTAAGCAGAGATGAGCACATGGTAGCACTTGGGTTCAAATGCCTGACCCAAGTAGTACCACAAGGTGTTCAATTATAGAAGTACATGCTTTGCAACAAAGAATACAAGGTGCTTCCTTTCTGTATTAGTTACTCTTTCCAGAAGCATCACAAAGGAGCATGGGTAGATCCAGGATTGCAGCTATAGGTATGCATCCACACCCACTTTGGCATGAGGTGCATGTGCAGTGAAGAGAGCTTATTGTCCATGTGCCACATAGCTGAAGGGGGTGTACCCACAGCTCCTCACTGTGATGCTGGATGCCAGTGTTGTTCCAGCAGTTCCTGCTGGAGCTCTGCATGTGAGCTCTGAGATCCCCAGTGCAGGGTATACTCAGAGCCCCTAGAACCCTGCTTTGTCACTGGTTTACTCTTCCCTTCCCCGAATTCATCAGCAGGGAAAGGAGGAGCCAGGACAAGCAGCAGCACCATGGAGCCTCCAGAGCGGAGTGAAAGCAGGGTCCCTGCAAAGTAAACCTGGACTGGTTCTTTCAGGTCAATCAAAGCTACTTGCAAAATGATGAAAGCTATCTATCATGATTTTTTCTGATTATTTCAGGGAGAGGGTTTGCTCTACCCCCTACAGTTGGTTGAAAAGGTTTTGCTGCAATTGTTGTTTTAGTTTGCAAGAGGGGTTTCGAAAAAGGTTACAAAAAAAGGGTTTGAACCAAAACAAGCAAAATATTCAGAAAAAAAAGTTGTTTTAACCAAGGCTTCTTATTAATCTCCAAATTAAAGTGGGAGCATTTTTTCTTAAATAAAGTTGAAATATAAAAGGAATTTTTACTGTAACTCCATTTATGATAATGAGACTAACTCCAGAAACCACAGTCTTCTGGAAGTTTTAAAAGAGCATTTGGTAAGGATACAACAAAGGAATGGGCTGGTAGAAGTTTTCAAAATTTAATCCATCAAAGTTGTCTTGTCATCATCATAAAAGGTGGCAGTCCAGCTTTTCTCCCATTTCTAAGATAGCCCCTATGAAGCAGAAAGGGAAATGATGGACAAGGAAGTATCTGACTGGTTTTAGAGAAAAAAAAGTGGCAGAAAAAATATTAGGTATTGTCCACCATTAATATTCAGGAGCTTTTGAAAGCAAAGTCTTTAAACTGGTAGACTGTATGAAAGATGGAGAAGTGCCTTGGGTGCTCATCTACTTTAAGCTGCCACCTTGGCAAACAGCTTCCCTGGATTTCTGCCTAGGTGCCACTTAATGAATCTGAGAATCCTAAATGCCTGCAGATGCCAAGAAACACTTAATCCCCACCAAAGCCAACTGCATTTCTATGGTGTCCTTTATCCAAAGATGCCAGAGGCTGTACGTGGTCCTCAGACACTGCCAAAATAAAGAGAGAAAACCACCCAGCAAATATTTGAAGTCACTTAAAAAAAATAACAGAATGAATTTTTAAATGTGGTTAAATTTAGAGCAATGTTTCAATAGCTGTGGTTACTCTGGAATTTAAACAGACCTTTGGAAAACTTCCCAAAGCTAAGAGTTGATCATGTGAAATAACTTTTGGGTTTTAAGGACTTTTCCCCACTGAGAATATAGCGGCTAGAAAACATGTTTTCTATGAAGAGATCCCCACTAATACTGATGGTTCATTTTTTAGCTATTACACTGGGTTAAGACATCTCCCACAAATATTCTAGCCTCTAAAAATACCAGTGACTGCATAAACTAATGAATACACTACTGTATATTGTGACAATAGGAAGGCATTTTTCCTAGCTCTTTTTAATTAGCAGTTATACCATCAGACAGGCCCAAGCTTGTTATACCTTGTAGAAGTGAATTAAAAAATGTATATTTAACTTAAATAGTATTGGATTTGATTTTCACTTCAGTGATATTGTACATACAAAGTAACTCAACAGAAAACAAGCATTAAAAAACCTTTCCATCACAGAAATACAACATCCCAGGGAAAAAACAGAAGCAATAGCAATAACATAATGGAAAATGCATAAGAAATATACCATACTTAGAGCAGTCAACTATACCAGTTTAGGCATTTGGAGTGGGAAATGAGAATAGTTATGTGGTCTCCCCATGACACCCCCTTACTACAAAGCCAGTTCCAGTGTTATTAAACATTACCTTTCCCACATGTTAAAAGCTCTTAAGAAGAGAGCATCCACACATTAAGTCAGGAAAAGACTAGCTAAGGGAGAAATATCACTGGCGGGTGTCAGGTAGTTTGTGTTGCAGTGATGACACAGTTGCATGGGGCCAGCATAAGCAATTTGAGGTCCTCCAGCATCCCAAGATTCATTGCTCTGATTTGCCCCCATACAGCTGATATATCCTCCAGGACTCTACTATCCAGGAGTAATGGAAAGGCAGCAGCTGCAGGAGGGCTAGCAGCCACGGGACAGAACTGGCAGTCATACCCCTGCTCCCCAGCCTTCTAGTGTCAAGTCAAAGCCGTGAAGCTTACAGAGGGTATTAACCCTTAACAGGCAACTGCTCACAGCATGCACTGACTTTAAAATTGCCTAACATTCCCTAGAATTACCATGTGCTAATTATAACATCTGACAACACCCTTAGACTCAAAGCCCTTACAATCAATGATGGATTAAGTTCCAGGTTCTACAAACCCTTTTTTGGTTAACCCAGTAAACCCAGAACTACTTTATGAAAATAAATACCCTGTGAATCTTAAAGTTCTCCCATTCCTACCTCCCACCTGAGCCAAGAGAGCTCACACATCTTCCACCCATCTATTCTTTTAATTAGGAATGTCATTTATTTTAGCTAGGTATAGTTACAGTCAGACCAGCCAAAGGAAGGTGTTACAGATATTATTAGCAAATATCTATCGTTGTTGTTAAGACTCACTAAACTTCTTGCCTGAATAATTTAGTAAAGTTTACCCAGATCATCTCAGGTTAATAACCCATGTGAAAATACTTACATGTGCTCATTAATTTTCCACCATCCCCGCTCACAGCCTTTGATGCTTTTCTCACTTACGGTATAGTTATGAAACTTCAGTGCTATACCTAGGTTCTTCTGAGGAGTCTATTCCAAACAAGTGAAAAGGCCAGTTAAAAAGGGGTTAATTTATGTTGTGTAGACACTACACATTAGTCATCTTTAAAGAATTTTCTCAGCACTCACTGTCCACAAGTTACAGGAGCTACAGTACTGTCCACAGCTCAGCAGCAAACACCTAAGATGGTTATTCAGCTGCCAGGAAAAGCTTTCACTGACAGAGGCCAAGTGCAGCTGCAGGCTTTCCATCTCCTACCAAGCAAAGAATCCTTTCATCTTCCACCGCCACTGACCATATAAGGAATGAAGCTTTTGTGCCAAGATCAAAGGACTCTGGTGCTTCCAACCTTGCTTATACGGGACAGGTTGCCATGGCTGAGTGACAGATAAGACACTGCCATACAGAGCAGTCGGCTCTCAAATGCTTTTTGCTGGTGCCTTTCATCCAAAGAATTCTAAATATTTCACATCTTATTTTAAACTCAAGGGTACCACAGAAGTATGCAATTACTATGCATTCCTTTTTTAAAGGAACATGATAATTGACAAACCAATGGTCATACTAAATGGCAGAGCCATGATTAAAAGCCCACAGCATTTATCCCATCCCTCTCTCTTTTTAAGAAAAGTATAATCTAGGCAATGCGCAGTGTGTGTGTGTGTGTGTGTGTGTGTGTGTGTGTGTGTGTGTGTGTGTGTGTGTGTGTGCGTGCGTGAGTGCGTGCGTGTGTGTGTGTGTGTGTGTGTGTGTATATGTTGTGGGGGGGTCATGGAAGGGGAAGATGGGAATTTTTAACTCAAAAAGTTTGGCTCTATTCAGCCTTATCCAGAAAGGTCTAGGAAAAAAAAGTCACCCACCCCAGTTCTCATGGGATGCTTTTAATGTTCACACTCCAAAAAAGCCCCTATTAGATTAAATTGTAAGTATTTAAAAATCGTATTTCATGCACACTTGGCAGAGACAAGCTAGTCTTTTACAAATAAACCCACCAAATGTTCCTTCTACCCTGAGCATGCTCTAAAGCCCAGGTCCTAAAGCAAATTTCCCTTTAATGGGAGCTGTTGACTGGTATAAGTCCTTCCCTGCTTCTTTATACTGTCTGCAGCAAACTGACAGGTAAGCAAGAAAGATTCGGTGATTTGGACATAGACAGAGCTTTAAATGTTTTTTCTATGTACCTCTAGGCAGCAGGCAGCTCGTGAATGCTGGGATGCTGGGGCGCATGGAGCATCCCAAGGAAGTGCAGGGGACCCCCCAGCATGCTTGGCAACAGACCAGAAGCACTTCTGGTCCAATTCCGGGTCCGCTGAAGAGCATGCAGCCCCCACCCCTCGTGTCTCCCCAGCTCAACAACTGGTGCCTCCTGGGTCGGGGGGGGCACCTGGGTCCTCCTGTAGCCAATCACTGAACTGGGGGGGGTGCAGGGGAGCCCCCCAGCACACTCCCCCACGGACCCAGAAGTGTCCACTTAATTTCTGTCCACTTCTGGGTTTGCCGCAGAGCATGTGGGGGGCACCCCCCGCACTCCTGTGAGATGCTCCATCTGCCCCAGCATTTCAACATTCATGAACCATGCCTGGTACCTCGAGGTATGTAGAAAAAACATTTAAAATCGTGTCTATGGCTGAATTGCTGATTCTCTGAATCAGCATCAAATCTTCAGATTCGGATTTGGCTGAATCAAATCAGGGACAGTGATCCAAATCAAATCACTGTTCTGTCTGCCTGTCCCGGGGGGGGGCAGGGAATCCTTGCTTCAGCAGTGAGTGGGGAAGGCGGGAGGGCAGGGGGAATCCAGGCAGACCCTGCTGTACATGAAGTCTGCCAGAGCTCTAGCCAGGGAGCAGAGGGGATAGTCAGCCCTGCTGTGGAGCAAAGAGCCCTGTTCAGCCCAGAGAGGATGCTGGGATGCTGGGGGAGTCTGATTTATCTTAAACCAGCAGGGGGTCTGGGACAGACATTGCATAAACCAGTTTGATCCAAATCAGTTAAGTCTGATACTACATTCAACCAGGTTTATCTCAAACTGGTTTCAGCCATTTTCAAACTGGTTTATGTGCACTGAACATCTGTTCTGTTACAGCTTTAAACCAGTTTCTGATCATTTAAACCCACTTATGTGTAATGTCTGTCCCTAGCCAATGTCTACACATGCAGTCCTATTAGGCCACAGGATATTAACTAACTCCTCTGCCAGTTAGAACTTGTAAATACAAATACTATTCTCCAAAAGCTTTTTTTTAGTGTGCAGCAACAAACATATAGATGCTGATAGGGCTGGTTGGGGCATAAAGGTGCTTCAGTGCAGGGCTGCCTGCTGGCTTGTACTCCAGCCAGCTCCTCTGCAGCACATTAAGCTGGGTCAGAGCAGCCCGGACTGGCTGACCCTTGGGGCCCCCTGTCAGCCAGGGCTGCTCAGACCCAGCTAAATGTGCTGTGGTCCCAGGCTCTCATGAAGATGTGGTGCCCAGGAGCAATAAATACCAGCACAATATGTATCAGAGTTTATTTCTTCACATTAATTCCATGTGTTGATGCTCCTAGTAAAGCTGTGCTTAATTTCTGTCAGTCAAGTATTAATTGCTGTAGATTACGGTGTAGTCAGAAATATCTACCAGATCTCTCATAAAATGTCACTCCCTACAGAAACCTATGTTGGGCATGCTCTGAGGCTTTTGATGCTTTACATGTGTGTCAGTGCCAGAGGAAAAAGAGTAGACTTTACCTGGAAATTCCACATACAAATGCATTTTGGAGGATAGTAGCTTGGGTAATAGGGACTCATGATTCTCCCCTCATACCCACTTTTTTCTTTTGCCAGTATTGTTTTTCCACACTCTAAGGGGAAAAAAAGAAGTTTGTTAAATTCCATGCTGAGTTCTGCAGCACAAGTGGCCAAATTGATCATGTTCCTTAAACGCTATAGCAGAGCAACTTAAATGTTGCAATCAACATTTAGTCAATCCACTGAACTAAAAAAGAAGTCAGAATTACATATTACATATAATCTCCCCTCCCCCTGCCTCCCTCCATACACATGCATACACACGGAAGTGATATAGAAGAACCTGTGGCTCTCAGCCCTCAAATCCTGGGAATGCTGTCTCTGATAATTTGCTGAATGTCTTTCACAAACAGAAAGGTCAGCAATTCATGCAAACTAATCAGTTCTCCGCAGTTGCCAGGAACAACCTCAGTTCAATACACTGAACTTCAAAAGTGGCCCACACAAGCCATTGCCTCCATTTAAAGGGGCCCCACAGAATTGATCAGCCAAACTGTGTGTTTGTAAAAATAGATAACTTAAAAAAAAAAGTTTGTAAGTGTGGTAAACCTAATGTTAAGAAGCCATATTCACTGCCAAAGTGACCTGAAGAACTACTCTGATCACTTCCTCATTCCTCTGTGCAGTGCAAGTCATTTGATTTCTGTGAAACAATCTCCATTTGAAATAAAGCATCTCTTGAAAAAGATCCCAACCCAAAACTTAAATTTGCATGTGTAACACCCACACACACTTCAGGATGTGTGGTAAAGTGTGTGCTTTCGGTTGTTGTATATTGTGGGCGATGCGGGGGTTTGGAGGGGGTGGGGGGGAAGGACTGGAAAAGAACCACCTCCCCTCTCCCTCATTGTGTCCAGATCATTGTCTTAAGATTTTTTTAAAAGAACCTTAAAACCAGTGTAGTGATTCTGGAGGAAATCCTGGAGCACTGGCCACCTTTTATAGCCAAGACTGCGTGTCCAGGCTGCAACCATAAGCCTGGGCCTCTTTTTGCTATTTCACTGCTATTGCAATTTCAGCCCACCTGTGTGGGGCTGAACATTGAGACCTGGATCAACAAGATGTGCCACTCACCAGATGGCTGGGGTTGGTATAGGCCTGGCTGGCTTTTTGGTGCCCAGTCCAGGCCCAGTGAGATAGGTCTGGGACTCCTTTTGCCCCTTTTGCAGTTTACGCCCCAACCAAGCTGAGTGGCTGGACACTAGTTGTAGTTCAGGGCCAAGTGAAAATAGACCTGCCCCCTTTTTTTGTCTCAGCTGTTAGGTCTCTGCATAGCAGTATAGCTGAGACTAAACGTCCAGGCGGCAGCCAAATAGGCCCGGCGCTCTTTTGTTGCATGTTCAGATCATGGTGCAGAACAGGCCTGAGCACTCCCTTTATTGTTCTACAGCTGTTGGGTCTCAGGCTAGCTATGTTGTTGAGCCCCGCTGTATATTTGCTTTATGTCTGGGCCTGGCTTTGGGCCTGGCACATGTTGTTGCTTTTGTAACTCTGGTTGGTGCTGGTTGCAGTTCAGGCTCTTCTGCTGTTTGGCTGCCTTGTCTTTGAGTTCTCTTGCAGTCTCCTGCCCCAGCAGAGCTGGGATTAGGACTAGAAATTTTGGGGTGCAATATGCTGATGACAGCTGCTGTTAACCCTTCAAAGTCACCACACAGAAGTGGAGATCAGTGCTACAGCTTCGCAGGGAGCAACAAGAGACCCCTTACAACACAGAAGGACCTATACTCTCTAGCAGCTCTCTGTGGCACAGTAGACCAATGGAGCAGCTCATAGGACTCCCCGGCGTGGGCCCCCCTTGCCAGCCCATTGCTGAAGGGCAGCTGTGTGGGTGCAGGCCCCCAGAACTACCCACTGGGGAGCCCCCACGTCCCAGACTGCCTGGGTATGGGTAAAGCCTCCCCAAAAAGGGTGTCACCTATAGACCTTGTTTTGTAGTTTATAGTGTTTTAAAATTATAGCTAGTGTTTACTTTTGTTTTTTCCTTATTCTTTGTAATAAACTTAGATTTTGTGTTTACACTGCTTGAGAGGGAAGAGTTGTTGGTTTTATTGAACACACTAGGGATTCATTTAGTGTTTCCCAGGTAGTCTGGGTGGAAGCTCAAGCCGAGGTTTTATATATATTGATATACTAAATATATTTAGTACCCCAAAATTGAACATGGCCCTTGTTACTGTTGACAGGATAGCACCACATCCATAATAACCTGCAGGTTGGAACAGGAGTTATAGAGGCAATGATATGGATGGTGGCAGCAGAAAGCTTCCCAAAATCTGCATGTGCTTGGGAGAATTGTGCAACAGCTCTGAGCACACAACCTATGACAGAGCTGCCAGGAGCAGCGCTGAATGCTGTGCACTTAAATAAAAATCCATGTTGCTACAGTCCAAAGGAAGTCCCTTGTCATTGCACATTACTCTATGCATAAAACAACAGCCCTTGGTAAATTATCCCAATGATTTATTTAAAATTACTGTTAAATATTTGCTAGCCTACATCTTTCTGGCTGCAACTTCCAGGACTCTGTATTTTATTATACCTTTTTCTTGCTAGTCCTATATTATCTGATTTTATTTGTAGATGATTTTATTTCATATTAGATTTATATGCCACCTTCCCCAAAAGAGGCTTGGGTCAGCTTACAAAATAAAACTGATAAATCATAAAGGCAGACAAAATATTTAAATAAAATAAAATGTAATAGAACAAACTCCCCAGACAACTATGATCAAGTGACTCTTGAACCAGAAAGGAAGATGAACAGATGTGGAATACAACACTAGTGCATACATTTATCCTTTTTTGCTGCCTAAGCAGAAACCTAAATTAAGATACTGAAGATTATAAATGCAATCACAAATTTTAGTTTTAATACTGAATATTTAATGCTCACTACTTTCATCTTTAAGACTGGAAATCAGAGGCTCCAGCAGCAGGGAGCAGCTACAGAAGTAGTGTAAATGGACTGCTATGCGGGTAGGAGAAGGAGCTATAACTAATTTCCGAATATTGACCCCAGTCAAGAACTGTGCAACTCTCTTCCCTCCAAACTTTGCTCTGCAAGTCTTCTTGGGACAAGATGCATCTCCTTTGGTGCATTTATATAGCACCTAGGCACAGCAGAGCTTGGTTGGATGATTCTCAGGCTGTAAACCAGAAAAACCACTAAACGTATCCAGACATAGAATTTTTATGAAATTTCTAAATGGACACCAGCCCTTAAGTCATTCAATGTTGAACCTACAGCATTTTTCTTGTGATTATGGAGATTTGCTTTCAATAAAATAAGAGGTAAGAAGCATTTTGTTCACTTACTATATGCTATAGTTACCAACCATCACTTAGGTAATACAGCAACATCTCCATCTAGTGACAATCAGGAGTATTGAAGATGATGGGTTGGCAATGAAAATTCAAGCATTTTTCTTTAATATACTTCCTACCTGCTTCACATAACAAAAGCTAATCCAAAACAGAGAGGACAACAAGAAAGGATTACAGGAAAAAAAGTCCCAGTGTTAACAAAACAAAGGAAATAAAGAAGAGAATATAATAGAAGGAGGTAGGAGGGGAAAGACAGATTAAAAAAGAAATCAATCAAGGAGCTGCTAATTTAGGATTCTAAGAAATGTATCAGCTCTGGACTCTTGACTGGCTTCTCCATGATAAACACACTTCATTTAAAAAAGAAAAAAAAAAGACGACTTACTTTCTTGTGCAATGACCTCAAAAAAGCCATGGAATTTCTTCAGTTTCTGTGTTTGTGTAGACTTAAACGTGACCAGCATCAAATTATTTGTGGAAACGAATGACATTAAGGAGTTGGTTGGTTCACATATTCTAAGAGAGGGGGAAAAATGACAAGAGACAAAAGGAGTTATTTTTAAAAGCAGATAATGCTTGTTAGGTTTTTAAATTTCCACTCAAAGACTAAAGCTGGAACACAATCTTTTTTTTTTTTTTAACTCCTATTTACAAATCTATGTTGCTAACCACTAGGAAGTGTGGTTGAAATATACTGAGAAAGTAGTGTCATGTAAGCGCGCAGTGGCCCTATCTTACATTTACTATGCTTACTTTATTAGGAATATTGGACTGGAAGGGACCCAAATGCATCAACGTGTCCACCCTGTCCCCCGCAACTGGAGTCAACCATGGAACAAACGTTAAGTTCAAAACCCCTTAGAGACACTGCAAGAGGCACATGCAGGAACAAGAAAATGTTCCCCATGCTGCAAGTTTGCAGCGCAGGGACAAAATGAGACCCCTGGATATCCAGGGGTCAAAAAAACCCCGCAAAGAAAAGAAGTGGGGCAGGGCAAAACCTGAGGCAACCGGAGGCTGGGTGCTCCATAAAGACACTCTGGCTGCCAGAGCATCTCTATGGTTAGTCCTTGCCCATGAGGGCAGGCAGCATGCCAGCAGCAGGGAGCTGGACCCAGGCTCCACTGCTGGTAAGTAAGCAGTCAGGGGGCTGGAGGAAGGGGGAGGGAACCATGGAGAGGGCCCACCGGCCCCACCCGCTCCCTCAACCCCCTGATCCTTTCCCCACCTGGCCCCATCCCCTGCCTGCCCCCTGAGCCCCCTCATCTCCCAATCCCTTCCCCACCAGCCCCACTCCCC